AAGGCTGACTACATTCTCTCGCTGTGCCTCTTACTCTAATGAAGCATCCAGGCGGAAGGATACCCAGAGGACCTGCAGTGATAACCAAACTTTGCAGATAAGATATAAAGAGCATGCATGACATTCAACGAACACAGTGAAGCAAGCAAGATCTTCACAGAGAAATACACAGAATGGAGCCTCGAGATGAGGAAAGAAATGGAGAGGCAGGAGAAAATAGAGGGGTGGAGCATAAATTACAAAACGAGTAGCAGTTCTTTCTGGTTCCCCAACCCCATGTATGCCAAAGGTAGTGAACTGGGTGATGTTTGGTGACAGAAGGAAAAAAAAAAAAAGACCTGAAAAGGAATTAATTGGTGTTTTCATTAAAATAAGTTGAAAGCAAAGAAAGAGTGGGAGATAACTAGTATCTGTTTTCTTCTCTTCCCTGGTGTTTCCTGGACGGCAGCCATGTCCTGGGACTCTGGTGCATAGTGCCTCAGATCTTTTTTCTCTAGTGGCACAAGTCCATTCAATAATGTAAGAGGCAAGAAGGAACAGTTTTGGGGAAAGGACTCAGTAGTGCAGAAAGACACATCCCCCTGCTTTTGCCGTTGAGCTCTGAGCCTGCTGGGTGAATTTGAGGCTGGGTTCCTAAACATGATGTAGGCTGAGCAGTGGAAAATTTCTCCCTTGGCTACCATGTTGTTCCATGTGCACCTACCTGACCCTCTTCTACTGCTAGACAGGAATTCTGTATATTTAACTGGTTGCTTAAGATCTTCTCTTTCGGTCCAATAAGTGCCTTAAAATTTTACCTGGAGCTGAGCTTTTGATAGACTCCCAATCCATCCATCCCAGTCTTCTGCCTTGCTTAACGGTGACTCTGTTATCCATAGGCCTTGAGCCAGAAGCCCTGATGTTTTATTTGGTCACCACCTCATGGCTTGTCAGCTCTTCCCTTAAAAACTTCTAACCGCACCATGCCTCACCATCTCCACAGGCCAAACCCTGTCCTCTACGTTCACCTGGACTGTTGACCACAGCATCATCTCTCCTTCCACTTTTGCTCTCCATTTTTTTCCCTGCATGTCTCTGCTCTCTGTTCTGTGGACATCAACCCAGGATATCTCTGGGCTTTCCAGTGCTTCACTGTGGCAGCCCGAATTACTCAAATCTTATGCCTGCTCTTTCTCATCTGCTCTCCACAACCCCTCAATCTCATGCCTGGGCTTCCTTCGCTGCCCACCCCCACCCCTCAGCCACATCTTCCTCTGACTGGTATTTAAATCCTCTGGGCTCTCTGCCTTCTCACGGTCCCATCAAGAAGCAGGGTGACAGCCTCAGAGTAGGGTAACCGATGAAGGCTCTTTTACATTGATAAGGCTGTCCCCAGGATTTGCTGGTAAGTAGTGTCTATTTGTCCACAGGCTGTGAGCCTCTGGCTACTGGACAGCTCTTCCGATGTGGTTGCTGAAGAAATGCTCCATGAAGTCACTGAGGTGTTGCAGCTGCCAATCCCCAGTCTATCCATTTTCAAGAGCTTTATTGATTTTTGCCAGGAGGATTCCAGGCGGCAGTGAGGGATTCATAGTCCTGCTGCCCATGGTCCTTGGGTGGATGGCGGTGGTCCAGCGACGTGACTGCAGACAATGCAGAGAGCACATTCTAAGACTCCCAGTGGCTAACCCAAAGCAGTGGCAGAGCCACACTCTGTACGTTTTCTCCTGTACTCTACATGATCGTACAGTAAGAGAGCAGCAATGGCAGCAATGGTACAAAACAAGTGTAGTGACAGACCAAAGGAGCAGCCATGTAAAATGTATTAGCTCAGGGGTCGGGGCTCTTGCTGCCAAGCCCAGCAGATTGAAGTTGACCTTGAGTCCACATGGTACAGGCTGCTGTCTGACCTCCACTTGTACACCATGGCATGAGAATGCATGTGCACAGGCATGCACACACACACACACACACACACACACACACACACATGCACACAATAAATAAATGTTAAAAAAATGTTAACTTACCAATTAGTCCTGGAATTTTCCCAGTTGTATCATCAGACTGTGGCTGGTTGATGAGAACCAAATGTGAGGGCAGTAAAACAGTAGAAAGGGGGATTACTATAGCCACTGAACTCACGTGAGGACAGTGACTGCTGGGTCACCATTGATACCTGTCTGGTGTGCATAAAGTGGTAAGTGTCATTCATCTCTGTGACAAGCTGGAGACTTATAACAGGGTAGGCTCCTGGGAGAATATGTGGGTGACTCAGCCAAGACTCCTCATAGCAGAGGTCATAGAGACTGAAGAGGCCACCCCTTAACTAGTCAGGACTCATAGCAGAGGAAGGGAAGCACCAACAAAAACTTTGGCCCAAAATTTACCCTGCCTACAAGATGTGCAGGAACAAAAGTAAAGCAGAGATTGAGGAAATATCCAGCCAATGGCCTGACCCAACCTGAGACCCATCCCATGGGAGAGAGCCATCCCCTGACACTATGAACAATACTCTGCTATGCTTGCAGAAAGGAGTCTAGCATAGCTGTCCTCTGAGAGGCTCCACCTCAGCAGTGGATGGAAGCAGAAGCTGAGACACATAAGCAGACACTGGACAGAGCTCAGGTAGTCTTGTGGAAGAGTGGGGAAGGAAGATTAGAAGGACTCAGAGGAAACAGAAGCTCCAAAAGAAGACCAACAGAGCCAACTAACCTAGACCCGGGGGCAGGGAGAGGCTCACAGAGACTGAAGCATCAACCAAGGACTATGCGTGGACTGGATGTAGGCCCCCTACACATATGTAGCAGATGGGCAGCTCCGGCTTCATGTGGGTTTCCTAGTAAGGGGAGCAGAGACTGTGTCTGACATGGACTCTTGCCTGCTTTTAGATCACTTTCCCCTAGGGGGACTGCCATGCCAGACTACTGGGGGGGAGGTTTTGCCCAGTCCTGATACAACTTAATGTGCTGGGGTGGGTTAGGGCAGATGGGCTCCCATTTTCTGAGGAGCAGGGGAAGGGAATAGGAGAAAGAGGGAGGGTGGGACCTGAAGGAGAGGAGAGAGGGGGCTATGATGGGAAGTAAAGTGAATTAAAAAAAAATGGCGAGCCTCAGGTAGATGGCAAGAAATCAGCACTGCTGTTGTTCTTCCCCAGGTTTCTCAGCCCAGCAGCTATGAGAGAGCACAGGGCAGGGGCTGGGGACACTTCTGTCTTTAGAGTTCATAAAGTGTTCCTATGAGACCTATGTGGTGGTCTTTTTTGAATACTTGTGTTTTCTAGTTCCTTGGCGACCTTTAATCTCCGATTTCTACTTACCGTTACTTCTGAGTTTCTCTGCAGAGTATTTCTCTGCTTATGGCTTTAACTCACATGTTTAGAAACATGTTAAATAGCCCTGTCACAAACAATCTATTTGATGTGCATACCAGCTCCAGAGCTTTCTGTTTTCAAATTTGTGATTCGAGATTTCCTTTCCACGGTGGCCCCTTTGTGTTCCGAGAGGGAGTGTGAGGAGACAGTGGACCCAGGAGTGATGTCAGTCTCAACAGACTACCAGCCCCTTCCCATGAGGCCTCCTCCTTTGCTCTGTGCACACAGTTTCTCCTTGACTCAGCCCTCCCTCTGGTTCTGGCATTCAGTCAGAACAGGCAGTTGTAGCAGGATCAGTTATGAATGGAATGATGTGTTTGCCAAGACTAGAAAACAGCGCTGCCGAGAAGTGTGGAGAAAGGCTGTCCGCTGCTTCGGCGCAGGCACTGTTGACCATGATAGAGTCATTTGTTTTACCCCGTTCTTGTCTTGGTATGGTTCCAATTTACCTGTAAAATAATGATTTGAAAATAAACAGAGAGTGTGGCAGTGCGAGCTCATAAACAGGCTCACAAAATTTCTAGCTCTGGATGAAATCTGGGCAGCGGGGTAAAGGCAAAAATCAGCTTTCTCTGAATCTCTGGTCACGCCTATGGAGAAAAGTGAAGATGGACACTGTTTCCCCTGACTAATGGGCTTGCTATTTAACTAAGAATAAACTGGTTTTTTTGAGATCATCCAGCCTTATTCTCTCTGCCCTTTGATTGTTCTCTGAGCAAAGCACCTTATGAATGAGTGGAACTCTTCTGCCTTGCTATTTGCAATTCTCTTAAGGGGAAAAAAAATCAAACAAACAAAACAAAAATTATATTGAACAATAAACATGACTGTTTCCTGGAATATGCCAACTTTTCCCATGTTGAATGTCAGCACAAGGGAAAAGGAAGAGTGGAGATGGCTTGGGATTATTTTTTTAATTCATTTATTTAAAATTTTAAATTATTTATTTTACTGTTGGTGTAGTTATTTTGGCTGCATGTATGTATGTGTGCCATATTTGTGCCTGGTGTCTGCAGAGACGTCAGAGCAGTATGTCAGATGCTCAGAGATAGAGTTACAGATGGTTTTGCAGGAGCTGAGTGGATACTGGAAATGGAACCCAGGTCCTCTGCAAGGGCATCGATGACTCCCATTCTCTGAGACATCTCTTCAGGACAGCAAGTGATTGATTTAAACTGAGCCCTTTTGAGACTGGTTTTGTCCTTTTTCTAATCAGCTTTTGTTTTGTTTCAGTTTTCAATTTTTAACTTTTTTTTTTTTTTTTTTTTTTTTTTTTTTTTTTTTTTTTTTTTTTTTGCCTTACCAGCTTTGCTTGGATGAATCAAATGAACTGGATAATCACTGGGCTCTTACCGCCAAGTGTCAGTGATCCAGAGCAGGAAGTCTTCATGGCTGACACAAGGTCCCTTGAAGCCTAGGTTTCTGACTTGTGCAGTGTCAGCTGGACCTCATTTATGACCTGAGGAACATTTTGAGGGGTGGGCAAATGCAAATTCTACCTCCAAAGGCAGACAACACAAGATGTGGCTACAAGGGGAGGAGAAAGAATGGGAGACGTTAGTTTCACCACTGACCACAGCTGTCCCAAGAAACCTACCTGGAGTTAAAACTCAATAAAAATCTCTTTCTTGTAATTCATTTTTTTCAGATAGTCAGACCAATGGCTCTCTCTGCGGTCCTTCATCAAGCCTTTCTCTTGGCAGTACTGTTCCTGAGGGCATCCCAAAGTGAAGGTAAGAGGTGGAAATGGGAAAAAAAGAACATACAAAGATGACCTAACTGGTGCTTTGGAGAAAGTTAAGCAATTTCCCTTCCCTCAGAGCTGGTTCACATGAGATGTGGTAAATCTCTGGAAGCCACAGTTTCCTTGGGCGTGGCCTCCCTCATCCTGGTGGCACGTGTAATTAGCCCATTCCTTAGGCCTGCTTTCCTGCTCCGTGATCTGCCCCTTGGTGTGGTTGTGAGTGGACCTGAGGCCACAGAACTTCATGATTGCTCTGTTTTATCTAGACCATTGCCAAGCTCTTTCCTTCCAAACCCTGCTGGACAAGATGGAACAGCCCAGACTTGTTCTGGCTGCTAAGTTAGAACAAGTTCCGATGCCCCTTAGCCACACTCCCTGAGAGCTGTTAGGGTTATAAAATATGACTGAAAGCAACCGAAGTGTGCAAGGCAGGAGAAACTCTCTCGGGTATGTGCAAAACACCATCTTAACTGCTGAAATCTGTTTACAGAGAAGTAATGTTTGACTCTTAGCTCTCCCAGCAGACAGTTTTGGCAGCTTGGAATAAATCAACTTTGTAAATGCACATTTATGTGGAAACTTTATCAAATGTGTATGGATACTTTATTACTTTGAACTTATTTAAACAGATTCTTAGGTTTTAAAGAGTTTCTATTGGCTTATTAAATTTCCCTGCATTCGTCTGTATTTTACAAAACTTTACAGTTTTTTTTTCTTCCTGTATTTATTCTTTGTTATATTTGCTTTTTATCAAAGGTTACAGATATCTGCCTTTCAGAATGACCCACTCAAGTTTCATGCATGGATTTGTGAAAATGGTATTTGCAATGGATATGCATAGAATTCCTCATTTATTTCTTAAAACTGCAAGGAAAGATATGTGGGGAAAGGAGGAGATTTTGTTCTGTGAATAGCTCAAGTTCCATCTTTTTTTAGATCTAGGTTTGGTTTTGGCAAGTGGGAATACACCATTTTTTTTATGGCTTCTTAAGTATCAGTTAATTAAGCTCTTCGCTAAGCTGGGGCTGTGAGGTGGCCAGGCTTTCTCACCGGTGGCGCGTGTAGCTCCCTCGGTCTGCCTCGCCTACTGGAGTGTACTTAGACTGAGTGTCCTGACTAGGTAGGTTGAGCATGGAGACTCTTGTGGCCCAGATCAGAGCCCCTGATTCTGAGACGGCCTCATAGAGGGAGACTTCATCCTGGGGCCATCCCAAGCATTCACAGCTTTTGCCACAGCTTGCTCCCCTAGCAGAGCGGCATGATGTGAACTGACTGTCCGAGGTGTATCTTCTGCAGGTGGAACTTTCTGCTTCTCAGATCAGTCTCTGAGTCAGCTTGGTTTCTATTGTTTAGATCAAACACGTTTCCCTAATTTCCTGGCAACCAGTTTTCCATTTCTTCTTCCAGCTTTCTTTATGAAACAGGGCTTTGTTGGTAGGTCTGTTTTCACCTGAACTGTGGGGGACTATTTCCAATTTCTGCTGCCTACTAAACCTCCATTCGAACCTGCTGGCTCACCACTTACTCAGCTAACCAGGTTCAGGTCAGACTGTATTTCAGATAACCTGGCATAACTTTTTCCAAGCATAGGACATATGTAAGACCCTTCAAATAGCCCTGGGCATATTAACATCAGCCAACTGAGGTTAGCATTTTGATGTACATTTTGATGTACATGTCTTTGGGGTATGTGTAGAAACAGTTGTAAATATGTGGTAATTTTTAAATTATATTGTACAATTTATTTAGTGTGTGTGTGTGTGTGTGTGTGCATGTGTGTAGGTTTACATGCATACACGTGTCCACAGTACATGTGTGAAGGTCAGAAGGCAGACTGTGGGAGTTGGTTCTCTTTTTCCACCATGTGGGTTTCAGGGATGGAACTCACATTGTCAAGCTTAGCAGCAGGTACCTTTACACACAGAGCCACATTGCTCTCCTCCAATACATTCTACTAAAGGTTAACTCATGGTATGTAGGGAAAAGCCATAAGGGCACATATGTGTATATACAAACAGAAAAGAATCTGTACCAGTCTCCAGGAACTATTTTTAATCTAAGTAATTAAGAAGGGTGAATGTTTCCTTTCGATGATGAAAGTTCTTGGAATCACGTTGTTTTAAGTATTGTTAAATGGAATCCCATTCTGGGAATCAGCCTTATATTATTTCCTCTAGCAGTGTTGGGGCTGCTCAGAGGAACTACGGGGAAAGCGGGAGGGTGCCGGTGACTAAGCCCAGGATGGAGTTCCCAGATGGCCTCTTAAATCACATCTGGTTTCAAGGCATGAGGGCTGGCCTGGAAACCAGAAGCTCCGGGTCTGCTCTGGTCTAAAGCTTGGAACAGTCATCCATCCCCACTCAGCCAGCTTCTCTGAAATATCGACGGGATTGGCTTTATTTATCTCCATGGTCCCAGTGATCTCTCTGGCTTCACCTTGGGGTTTTCTTTCTCTCCTGCCACACACACACACACACACACACACACACACACACACACACACACATTATTTCTAACTGATGTTACTCAAGCACCTGAGTCATTCCACACTTGCTGATAACATATGCTAGTTTACGGAGCTTCGCCTTTGTTGAAGCAACATGGGACAACCGGGTAGTTTCCAGAAATAAGGTTAGACAGGGAGCTGGCTCATTCACTTGCCAATCAACTGTAGAGTGTTATACTCTATACTCACTCTGTGTTGTTAATCCTGATTTCCCTGAGCTAAAGTCAGACTTAGTCACACTCTTGTTTCAGTCACAACCCACATCAGAAAAACAGCCAGTTACAGTCTGCTATGATCAGGGGTGAGAAAAGCTGTGGATCAGGGAGACACAGAGAGAGCATGTGAATCATTTGCTTTCAAGTTGCTATGACAAAATACTTGAAAAAGGCAGGACAAGGAAGAATTTGTTTTGTCTCACTGTTTGAGACACAGTCCACCGCAGTGCGGAAGGTGTGGAGGCAGGACTGTGGTCAGCAGGCATTGTTCTTTTTATTCAGTCTGAGCTAGAGCCTCATTGATATTGCTGCCCAGATTTATGGTGGGTTTCCCCTCCTCAGTTAAACCTTTATGAAAACACCCTCACCAACATACTCAATGCTATGTTTCCATGTTGGTTCTAAATATAGGCAAACTGACAAAATTAACCAGGGTTAGTAATTGATCCTATCCAAGCGCAGCCCTGGCAATGACTATCTTTCACTAGGCCTTACCTCTTTCCTCTTTTTTTAAAAATCTATCTATCTATCTATCTATCTATCTATCTATCTATCTATCTATCTATCATCTATCTCTCTATCTATAATATGTTTTTAATTGAAATAGAATTGCATCACCACCCGCCCCTGTCCCTTTACCTTCCCTCCAACCCCTCCCACGTTCCCTTTGTTTAACCCCTCTCATGCCTCCACTCTCAAGCTGATAGCCTCTTTTTCTTTAATTACTATGTTATAGACACACATATGCACATACATACATGTGTGTGTGTATATGTAAACACATAAATACAATGTGTTGAGTCCATTTTTGTTGTTTGTGTGTATTGTTTCAGGGCTGATCACCAATAAGAGTGCTCATTCCTAAAAGAGGCTAGTTCCCTGGAAAAGGCTAATTCTCCTTCTCCTAGCAATCATCAGTTGCCTATAGTTCTTGGCCTAGGGGGAGAATCCCATGAAAGTTCCCCCTTCCATATTAATATATCCGTTGTTACCACTGTTGATCATGCAGTCATTTCTAGGAGAGAGTGTTTCACCATAGACTTCCTGGTGGTGTTCTGTCTCTTACAATCAGTCTACTCCTTCTTCTGAGATGTTCTTGGAACCATAGATGCAGGAGAGGTGAGACAGATGTATCATCAGGGCTGGGCTCCCCAGGATGTAGTGTGTGTGTGTGTGTGTGTGTGTGTGTGTGTGTGTGTGTGTGTGTGATGGTCTCTATTTGCTGTAGAAAGAGGCTTCTTAGATACAGGGTAGTAGCTACATTTATCTGTGGATATAAAGGTACTATCTAAAATATAATAAAGAATTGCACGGGTCTAGCAAAGAGGCTGTAATAGATTCTTTTCTAATGTCCATGACCTCACTAGCACTGGAAGCTGGCTAGGTTTCTAGTACCAAGTGTGAATTTTCTCATTTTGAGTGGGCCTTATGTCTGATCAGACAGCTGTTGGTTGGACACTCAAAGCATAGCAATATGGAAGAAGTTAAGTCAAAGCACATGACTTAAGCTTGAGAAGGTGAGAACAGTGGAGTAGACAAGAGTCTAGAAGCTCAACTTTTTGCTTTTAATAATGTATCTTGACACTTTCTATTGAGTAACAGTAAAATTAAGTTTCCTTCTGGTTATAGTAAGGTAGTCATCATTTAATGCTTCATGATATTACTGTAACCATCTTTGTGGGAGTGAAGATATTCCAAATTTGTTCCTCTCCCTTTATCTGTCAGGTTATTTATTCCCCAAGGAATTGGAATTTCCCTAGGAGTCAAGTCACAGTGCAGAAGAAAAAATAAAAAGGCTGAAGCTCAGTGTGTGCCAGAGGATGGGTTTATTTCCCAAGAAGAGATTTCCCAGGTCTAATAACTTGTTAGACCACCTTGCAGGAAAGACTGGAGCTGAGACAATGACACTGGGACCACACCTTGCTTAGTTATGATGATGCATGCCTCTTGCCTTCTATTGAAATCTACACCTCATTTCAAGATAGGCTTACAGCTTCAATGGTCCTCTTTGTTTCTCTTCCAATGTTGACAAACTGAGTAAACCTGCGTTCTCTGCTGTGCACGATTATTCCTGTCTTCATTTGGCTTATTGGAGATAAATGGTTCTTCATAACTGCCAGAACCCAGCAGCCTAACAACTCCAGAAACACAGCCTCTGGCTGCTGGAAACAGCAATGTTTCCTGATTCTTCTCTCTCCAATGCTGGCAACTACCAGACCGCTTACTGTTTCTATGGCTTTACCTTTTCTGGATAATCCACAGGAATGAAACCATACAATATGGAACGCTGGATTCCTTACTTATAATAACATTTTTGAGTTCCATTCAGTTTATAGCACTGATCACCACTCTGTTCCTTTTTACTACTGAAGGATAATAGTCCTTTATATCTAGAAATCACAAGTTTAAATCTTGAGTGGCCTCCGCTGGTGATGTTTGAACTTTTTCCACCCTCTGATGACTGTAAATGATGCTGCTCCAGGCATTGATATGCAGATGTTGGCTTGAATCCCCGGTTTTGTTTGGGGCTGAGTGGGATATAGATCTAGGAATATAATTGCTGGGTCTTACTATAATGTTATTGTAACTTTCCGAAAAATTATCAAAACGTTTTCCACAGTGATGGGTCATTTTACATTTCACTTGCAATGCACAAGAACTGCAAATTTCCCCACACCTTCGCCTGTACATGTTACTTTGCATGTTTTTAATTATTACTGAAGCCTTCCTTGAGAGTGTGAAGTAGTATCTTATTTGATATGCTGTCATCGGTTTCATCTGCATTTTTGTTTTTTAATTTTTTTATTAATTACAGTTTATTCACTTTGTATCTCAGCTGTAGCCCCTTCCCTCATTCCCTCCCAATTCCACCCTCCCTCCCCCATCTCCTCCCTGCCCCTCTCCAAGTCCATGGATAGGGGAGGTCCTCCTCCCCTTCCATCTGACCCTAGCCTATCCAGTATCATGAGGACTGGCTGCATTGTCTTCCTTTGTGGCCTGGCAACGCTGCTCTCCCCTCTGGAGGAGGTGATCAAAGAGACAGCCACAGAGTTCATGTCCCTTACTAGGGAACCCACTCGGATACTGAGCTGCCATGGGCTACATCTGAGCAGGGGTTCTAGGTTATAGCCTCATCTCCATTTTCTTAATGACAACTGATAATGAGGATCTATTCATGTTACTTTTTGGCCATATGTTTATTTTATTGGGGGAAATGTACAAGTTCTATGCCTATTTTTATTTTTTTCAAAATGTATTCATTATATATCCCAAATGAAGTCTCCTCCCTCAACTCTCTCTAGTCTCACCCTCCCTTCCTCTTATTCCCATCCCCTTCCCCTAGTCCACTGAAAGGGAGAGTTTTCCACCATTGCCATCTGCCCATAGCTTGTCAAGTCTCATCAGGACTGTGTGGATCCTGTTCCTCTGTGGCCTGGTAAGGCTGCATCATCAGGAGCAAGTTGACTGCTGCTTGATCTATGCCTGTTTTTAAACTCAGTGTGTTGCTTTTCTGTTGTGGATTTGTAAGAGTTCTGTATATAGCATATATATAGTATATAATTTATATACAGTATATATTATATGTACATTTACAGAGTATGAATACTGGGGACTTATCTAACACATGACTTACAAATAATTTCTCCCATTTTGCAGTCTTTTTATTTTCTTGATAACACTTCAATGGGCAAGTTCTAATTTTGATGAAGTTCGATTTATTTGTTTGTTTTTTTTTCTACTGTTGCTCATGATTTTCATGTCATATGAGAAGACCCATGCCAAATCCAAAGTCGAGGTATTGAGGTGCCCACATTAAGCACATTTATCCTTCCCACACTGTATTTGAAAAAAAAAAGTCACACGGGATAGGCAATCTGTAAGTAGCTACTGTATTTCATTTTATGGGTGTTCTGATTAGTCTCACATCTGAAGAATCTGTATCTGAAACCTTCTGAGGGCAATGCTGTGTCTGGTTGGAAAGTCTTCCACTGCGGAAAAGAGTCATACGACAGCACTTCTTTCTTATTTTAACTCCACCCAGAATCTCATTCTGTCATTCACAGGAAGCGTGTGTCTCAGGCATTCCCTCCCATGAGACCATGGATCAGACAACGGAGCCCATCTTCTCAGATGTGAGACAAAAGAGAGCACGTGTTTTGATATTAGAGAGATTACTACTACGTTTCACAGAGCTTTCATAAGTTATTTATTTAATCTCACAGAGCTTTGGTTTCCTTATATGTAATAAAAACTACCTTGTGGCTTTTGGGGGGGTTGTTTTATCTTGCTTCTTGGTACTTCTTTTATAGATTTTATTTATTCACTCTACATGCTGATTGCAGCCCCCTCCTCTCCTCTCAGCACCCCCCCCTTTGCTCACCTCTACCCCCATTCTCCCCTTTCCTTCTCCTCAGAGAAGGGGGAGGTCCCCCATAAGTACCAACCCTTGCATTATGGCTTTACAGTTACATGATGCTGATAAGGAAAGCAGCTTCCCCCACGCTTGGGAAACAAAGCTGTGCTCAGGACTGTTGCTGCTTTCCTCCACAGGGGTGGGGCGGGGGAAGCTCATGTGCAATGGCAATTGGGAGACCCTTCAACTTTTGCAGATTGCTAACATCTTTATTAAGAAGACATTCCTTTTGCCTTTGTAGAGGGGAACGGCTGCAGGGGATTGAACTCAGGGCTTCATTCATGCGAAGTATGTGTTTTGCTTCCAAGCCACTCTTTCCCTAAACAATTCCTTGTTTTCAAATGTGGTATGAGAGGCTTTCAGGTCACCAGTTTCTAAGAAAGTAGGAAAACAGAGGCCGAGAAGCAAATGTCTCTTACATATGGGTCAGCAGAAAGCAGCTGATTTTATAAGTGACTCTTTATCTTCTTAAGACCTTTGTAACATCCCCATTTACGTCAGACCCCCTCAGTACCACTGTTGGACTAGCTGAATTAGCAACACATGGTCTCTTTCAATCCTATATGGTGTTTTTTTCTTTCTTAAGTGAGAGTCATGATGTATTCTCATTATCTGCAGTAACCCAAGTGGGTCCAGGCCCACCCTCTCTCTCGCAGCAGAGTGTAGCTATCCGCTGATGCGTCTCTGTGCAACTATGGCTGTGGTGCTAGTTTGGGCTTACAGACCGTCAGAGAGACACTGGGCACAGTGTCAGTGGTGATGGTCAGTGGCCTGCACAAATCTGTTTGTGTTGGAATGTGCATTCCACCGCTCAGTGCTCTAAGCTCATGATCTCAATTATGTCTATGGCTTTACTGAGTCCCTCCCATTAAGCTCTTTGTCACAGCATTCTGCTTCCCATTTAGCGCCTAAAATGTAGTGTGTCATCCAGAAAGTCCAGGTAATATTCTTGTTGAGGTGTTTTAGCTCAGTCCACTGAAATACATGGAGCCACGTCTAGATATGAGATGCTTCCATTTTCTAGCCTTCCAAGAAGTTGTGGACCTCTGAATTTCCAAAAAGTATTTTTTTTTTTTAATTTTTGAATATGAGATTTTGGGGAAAAAAAACTTCTTTGTCTCCATTATGGATTACGATCAGATTACCCAAAAAAAGACCCCTCTATGGAGCAGCTTACCCGCTTGTTAACACACTGTGCATTGCCCAGCAAGCTCTCCTTGTCATCTTAGTTTCTCCCTTTGCAGATGTAACTTCTAAATCCTTCCCAGCCGCTCTCAGTATCGGATGCGCGGATGCGTACACAAAGGTGCTTTCCAAAGCTACTGAACACACTGAGCAGCGTCTCTATCTGCTGTGTGGCTATTCAGTCATGCCCCCATTGAGAATTATTTTATTCCTGTTCTTGGTCTTTCAGTCTTGGGTGAGTCTTTCCAGTTGACTCCTGCGGGACTTACTGTTTCTCTTCAGCCTAAGCTTCAGCAAGTGAATTTACAGTGGACCGCCGCAGGCCTTACTCATCAAGAAGTAAATGGGGTATTTCAGATAGAGATCAGCAGAATTAAAAAGTCCAACATCATATGGGTGGTGAGTACTTTTTGACTTAATATCTTAAAAATTCTTTTCTCATGGGGAGCCTTCTTAGGAGGCTCTTTACTTGGCTGAGGTGCAAGTCCCCGCACTTAGTATCTGCCAACACAAGGTTCTAATGGACTGCACGGGACAGGAACTAGGTGTCCTGTGTTCCCTGGAATGTGAGTTTGCTAATAAATGAATTAACTGATTAAATCCTTCTTGAGAGATGGAGGCCAGAGGATCAGGAGCTCAAGACACCCTGGGCTACAGAGTAAGTTCGGGGCCAACTTGGACTACGTGAGCCTTTGCATCAAAACAAATGAAAGATAATCTTTCAACTTTTTTTTTTTTGCTTTGTATTATTTGTGGTATATTTTCACTCATCTTCATTCATATAATGGATGTGTCTATTATTTCTAACACAGCCTTATCTAAGAGCACATTAGTCACAGGCATTAGATATTGTTATGAGAATATTAAGTACAATTTGTCAAGGCACCTTAGAATTCTACTTGAGTAAAGGACACAGAGGACAGAGATGAAGACCCATCAGTCCCACTGAGGTCTCCCTTCTCTTGGGTAGCAAATGCTTAGCATGTAGAGATCAAGAATGCCTATCCTTGCAGTTAAGCCTGTCACTAACATTTAAATCTTTAGCCCTTCTCTATATCCAGTACCGCATCTGAAGCCGAAGCAAGTGGCTAAGGTAAATAAAATCTGACTCAGTTTCTTAGAGAATAGAGCAGGTCTTGCTGCCTTTTCAAAGGGCATTTTCCCACAGTGGCAGCTGTGGGGCACGTGATGTCACCGTAGCACTGCAGACCTGTCATAACTAGCTGTCCATTTTCCACTATCAGCATATCTTCCAACCACCTTCCCTAAAATGGAGAAACCTCAGCGTTGTGGTTCTGATGAGTATTGGTTGGTGGGAACACTCAATAAAACTCTTATTGGACAAAGAATTGTCCAAAAACAGAAGGTTTAGGGAGAAGTGCTGAAGAAATTTTGGAGCATTAACGCTTATCACCAAAACAGAATAGCATTAATGTAGATCAAGAACTAGATTAATAAAAAAAAAAGAACTACATTACTGTAATGTAGTTCTGTATTTCTCTAAAAGACAATACACATTAGTTCTCATATTAAGAAAAACAAGGAGAGTTAGCCATGGAACAGGTGGATCCCATTCCTTGTTTTCTCAGATCTGAGTTCCTACTGGCTTCACAAAACACCGTCTCTTTGAATGGGAAAGCAGCATATGGAAATTATTTCTGTAATTTATGAAGGGATAAGATCCCAAAGGGTGGACCATTACACCATCTGTTTATTTCACTGAACTCAAAAACCCACAGCCACAGCCTCAGTACACAGTGACAAAAACCAGAACAGGGATATTTGTGTGCATCTCAGGCTCAGTGTCACAGGGAGATGTCCCCATTCTTCAGCTCCACGGCCAGACAGAGAAGATGGTCACATACTACAGCCAAAAGGTGCCCTTGTATGGCTCCTCCCACAGAGACACGAGACCTTCCTTCAGTTAAGGAAGAGGACACACTTCCTTCTGGAAATTCTTTGCTTGGGAAGTTGCTAGTTGTGCAAGCTAGGAGCCCCATTGCCACTTACACTGTGGGGACGTCTTACAGTCTCATCATTTGTTGTACTTCCAACAAGCCAGAAAAAAAAAAAAAAGCATATTGACCTAGGTGCCCATGGTTAGACTAGGCCACCTCCCTGACAGTGCTGGCCACACAGAGCCCTGCTGACAGCCACAGTCCATGGCGCTGCCCTGGGCCAAGCTTCTGCTCTTCCTTCTAGGACATTTTCTGTATTCTCTTGTCAACAGCAAGAGAAGGCTCAAGCTTGGAAAGAGGCCTGTGGTATGAGTCATTAGGGGTAAGACTCATGCCTCAGCAATGAGTCAGTGGCCTCGGATATATTTCTGTGACTATTTGTGTGCCAATTGCTGTGACCCACCAAGGTCTGCAAGGGCTATATTCAAATTGCCATTTCAATGCGTGAAAGCAAAACAAAGAAACTTTATCACCTTTTCTTAAATCACTAATTTGACTGATGTAGTCAAAGTTTATCTTCTTCATTGACAAGGCTATAAAGACTACAGAGCATACATTGAGGTTAGATAAAAGTCACACAGTGCCTAGGGAAACATGACCCACTGCATATTAATCAAGTGATTAAATTACTCCACGAAGAGTACTGGACTGTGGGCTTACATCAGGTATTGTGCAAGATGTGGGGGTTTAAAAGCTGACTGCACAAATGGGATGCTCTAAATGTGTGAGGGGTGTAAGGGTCACTAGGTTAGGCCTAATTTTCTCCCACAATTTCGATGAAAGATTCTTCGAGCCAAGATATAAAAGAGGAGTTGAAGTTAATTTAGCATGAAAGATGAGAACACGATCTCTGGAAAAACTCAATGGGAACAATCAGAGGCCGTCAGAGAGGGATACAGGAGCTCTGCCAGATTGAGCTGCCAGATTTGAAGGCAGGATACAGTGTGTGGGCTCAGCGCATATGGACACGGGTTAGGGCAAGCAGGTGCAGGACAAGACCACCCAAAGCCATGGGTAGAACACACAGCTTACTGGCTTGCACCTCATAACTTGTTCAGCCTGCTTTATATAGAACCCAGGACCACCAGCCCAGAAATTGCACCACCCACAATGGATGGGCCCTCCCCATTAATCACTAATTAAGAAAATGTCCTACAGGTTTGCCTACAGCCTGATCTTATGGGGTAATCTTCTCAATTGAGGTTCTCTCTTTTCAGATGACTCTAGCTTGTGTCAAGTTGACATAACACTATCCAGCACAGAGGGCAAGGGTTCTGGATGGCCACACTGAAGAAAGTTAGTTCCTGGAGCTCTGGGGGCTTCAAAGAATAAATAGTGCTCTCTGCTCCCTTGGGTCCATGCCTGTATCACATATTAATTCCAGGAGGGCTTTGATATGGGTGGAGATGAGAAGAATGTAAAGGAAAGGGCAGGAGATTCTCTAAGAACCTGAGAATGTAGGAACCTGTGCGGCTCTACAGGAGAGCTCTCTCTGAGCATGTGTGAGGCACTGGGTTCCATCTTCAACACTGAAATCTTTTAAGATGGCTTCCTGAAGGAGATGGAGTACTATCTGGGCTTCAATAATGCAGATAATTCCTAATGCAGAGGCAAGTGTAGGACCCTGAGCCAGCAATGCCTCATCAACAGATACTGAGATGCTAAAAAACACCTCAAAAGTGTCCAGTCTTTAAAGACAAGATACCTTCAAGTTAGTGGTACTTAGACTGTGGAAGCCTAGAAAGCTAGAGGAAGATATCATGTCACCACTGAAGTTGATCAAATTTGAAACTAGAGATTCTAGTGTGTTAGAAAGATTAAGGCTCAGTTCACCTTGAGTAGGGTCCTCGAAGAGCAGTATGAGGAATGCTGTTTGATTGAAACTGAGGTCTGAAAGCTGGAGCTTTGTGGAAGTCTGTGGTCCATCTGGCCACCACATCTAAAAAAACACAAGAGAGAAAAACAAGAGATACTTCCAGCAATGTTGGTGTTCCCAGGTTGCCATGAAGGATTAACCCATTCTGTCAAATTTAGCTAGTGTGTCCTAACCTTGGGCAAAATAAATATTTAAAAATACCAATAGATATTGCTTACTTCTAAAAATAAGTACTCAACTAACTAGATTTCTAGAATTGTCTTAGTAATCTTTGTGTGACCAGCTTGGTTGAATATCTGTCTCAGATCTTTGATGCAAGGCTTGAATGATTTCTCTCTCCTCTCTTTTGATCTGTATGAGCCCCCTAGAGAATGTGACAGTCGATGAGAAAGGGGGGCATAGCTGCCACTGCAGAGACATCAGAACAAGGGACTGATGGTTAGGTAGGAATTGACTTAACTTAGAAGAAGGTGGAGTTAAAATGGGGTAGAAGCTTGTACTTTGGAATAATTCAGGTTGACCTGATTTTCAGGATTGTAAAATGACTGTATATTTTTAAATACTTCCTTTATTTTTAGGAGAACTATAATGCCACTGTGAAGCAGAATCAAACTCTTCATTGGCACTGGAAGTCTGATATCCCACTGGAATGTGTAACACATTTCGTAAGAATAAGGGCTATGGTAGACGATGTCAGGTACCCGCCACAGAGTTCCTGGAGCAGCTGGAGTCCCTGGAGAGAAGTTAGAGGTATGAAGTGAAGTGGTTACAAGTGGAGTGGTCACAAGAATAATCAGAGTTAGTTTCAGTCCAGGTCTGCTCCTGCCCTTGAGGTATCCAGGCACCAATGTACACCAGGCCAGCCTGGAAGAAATGAAGTAGATTAGTAGAATCTTTGTTGGTGAGTTCAGAAGAAACAGCCTATTTCACAATAGTTTTCAGTGAAATAGCTCTTTTTATTGGGGATGAATAAGGGCTATGGGTAGTGGGTAGAGGTATTCGGAGTGAGTGTACATCATTGGCTGAGGCCAAGCTCCATGGAATACTAGCTGGACATGTCCTTATAAGGAGAAGTAGGTTTAACCTGAATCCTGGCCCACCAGGCTATGTGACCACCCTCAAAGGTGGCAGAGGTGAGGTCATACAGAGCACGTGCAGGCCCAGAGCAAGGAATGAACAGTCCTCCTTTTCCTGCTGATCTCAGGACAAGATTTTGGGGGTTTGGACACGGTTTAACCTCACTCTTGCTTTGGATTGGCTCCTCCAAGTCACACTTCTTTTTGGCCCCACAATTTAGTATAACTCAGAGATCAGTAATATTTCATTCCCTTTAAAAGACTCTGAGTTGACACTGGCATTATTTTCATTCGGTCATAATAAAACTAAAAACTGGACTCAAAATTCCCATGGAGATCTAGATGTCTGAAATTTTACCTCTGAATATCTTCATGGAGGTAATTATGTGATTTATATAATTTTGTATTTATATTCTAAATATGCAAAACATGTTTACTTTAAAGTTGTGCATGTATTTTTATTAAAGCAGCACAAATATATATATATATATATATATATATATATATATATATATATATATATGCATTTGGAACAGATATTAGGAAAGTTTCCGTAAAGGACCCAATATTCTCTTTGTGATTTTAACACTTATGTCTTCAGAAAGCAGCCCTAGAAAATGTGTATACAAATGAGGGAAATTGTGTGTCAATAAAACTTTATTTATAAAAACAGATGGCAGGCTTGACTTAGCTCATGTCTTGTGATTCACCAATCCTTGATTTAGAGGCAGGGAGCAATATGGGAAGAAGGAAAGCTGCTTTTCATTGCAGTGACAGAATTGTGGACAAATAACATTAACAACCCCTTAGTTTTTTAATCACTGAACATTGTTGTAGGTAAAATTTAGATCAGGCTTTGCCATAGCGTCTCATGTTCTATTTGGCTGCAGGCCAGATGAACAACAATAGCATTTCTATTCCTCATTATATTGTATGAAATTCTACCAATATAATCATTCCTTTGTCAAGCATTGATGCAAAGTTATTAACTCCTACTGACAACCTATTAACCCAAGAATAGTTTAGTGCACACGTTGATTGAGGAGAGGTGCTCCACTATGATGGAGGAAGCCATGACTTTGGAGCTGGGCAAGTTTCAGTTGTGTTCAAGTCTACAGTCTACAGTTTTAAACACTACACATTGGTTTAGCTATTACATGGACACTAAGAAACAGGCTTTGTTTTTATTTCCACTTCACAGACACATAAAATAAAGTTCAGGGAAAGTAAAGAGACTGCATAAGCCATGTACTTCACAACCGTGTCTTTCGGCTGAAATATGTAGAATGAGAGTAAGAAATCCAAGCATTTTGGCACATAATATTGGTGTTCAGGAGGCTGAGCCATGGGTTAACATAGATTTCAAGGTCAGCTTGGGTGGACTATGTAGTGAGTTCAAGGCTGGACAAGAATAAACAGTGAGATCCCATCTCAGAACACACAAACAACAGTGAGGAAAAGACATAAACATGTTATAAACAACTTTGGTAAAGCTGACTAGACTTCCCAAAACCATAACTATTAAATTTATACAAGAGTAATTGGAAATCCTGACTCTTACAGGGCTGTTTCACATCCGTGGTTGTTCAGTAGAATCATTTAGAGATTTTTAAAATCTCTTCAGGGCACTTAGCACAGTTGAGGTCAGTGATAGCAGTATCTAGTGGCCTGATAGGTGACCAGCTACACCAGGCTCAAGAGAGAGGTGAGGTAATGAAGCCTGAGTGGCAGGAAGGGAGGAAGTTTCTGGCAGAAGGCCACCTAGAGGGAGACACTAAAGAAGGTACAGCAGGGTGGAAGTTTCTCCAAGAGTTCTATGGATTTTGATACATCAGAGGTGGCACAGAAGACAAGACTGGAGAAAAAGTAGACGAGTTGGGTGAGCACATCTCTGGGAACGGGGAGGAGAGGTGCTCCACTATGATGAAGGGAGCCATGGCTTTGGAGCTGGACAAGTTTCAGTTGTGTTTAAGCAATTTAAGGGAGAGCTTGTTCTGGAGCATAGTTCAGGGGTGCAGTCCATGATGGCAGAGGCGGTTGGGTTGTCAGGGGCTTACAGCAGCTGATCACATCTCACCACAAGCAGGAAACAGAAATGCTGGTGCTCAGCTCGCATTCCCCATCTCCTACAGCCCTGGACCCCAGCCAGGGACTCGTGCCCCACAGTGAAAAGGTCTTCCCATCTCCACCAACCTAATTGCCATCATCACTCATAGACACGCCCACTGGCTCAAGCTGACAATAATAGAGGATCTCCCAGGGATTCTGAATCTCAAACTGACAATCACAGAGGCCTAGGAGTAACACCTGAATATGATTTTACTATTGACAAGTTGAGCAAACTTAGCTCAGAGTAGCTGCCTATCCTGCTGTTGAGTGGTCCTGAGAATGGCCGAGATAAGGAACACAAATGCCTCATAGAGGGCTTCCTGCATGGTGGGGACAGCCACAAACCGCAGCACCACCACAATAAAAAGTAATGATGGTGATGTTATTTTAGCTGGGACACTATGACAAAAGGTACCGTGGTGGAAAGGATTGGTTTGCCCCCACCAAGAGGCCCAGGAATCATGTGAAAGTTTAGGCATCTCTTTTCCTCAGAAGGTAGAATAAAATGATATTACCTTTAGAGAATGAGAGGGTTTGTGTCTTGAAATCTGAGTAAGATTCTAACCAAGGCCGTTTACCTTGCAGAACACGTTTCAGTTAAACCTGATACATTATTGATATATCCTGAAAAAAAACTGTTTGAAGAAGGCTCCAATGTCACCATCTGTTTAATGTATGGACAGAATATGAATAATGTATCCTGTAAGTTGCAAGAAGAGCCGATCCATGGAGAACAACTTGATTCACATGTGTCATTAATGAAGTTGAATAATGTAGCTTTCCTTAGCAGCACAGGGACAAACATCAATTGCCAGGTCATGAGAGGAACTAAAAAAACATTTGGTGATGTTCTCTTTGTCTCAAGTAAGTATTAAAGCAGTGGTTCTCAACCTTCCTAATGCTGCAAATCTTTAATACAGTTTCTCATGCTGTGCTGACCTCCCACCTATAAAATTATCTTCTTTGCTACTTTGTAACTGTAATTTTGCTACTCTTATGCATCACAATGTAAATATCTGATATGCAGGATATCTGATATGTGACCCCTGTGAGCTTCGTTTGAGAGCTGCGGTATTAGTGTTAAGCCTCTTTCCTTCACATTTCCTATGAAACACCTTGGATCTCCTTTGCCAGTAGGCAAAGAAATGCATTCACATGTGGTTTTATTTTTCTTTAATTTCACAAGTCTTCCAAAAGAGGTTGTGAAAATAACACACTGCAGCAATACTCCCAGGATGCCCTATTGTTCACAGATGCTTACTACCAGTTCTATTCCTAGAACCAAGTGTTAAAGGAGAGAGATTTCAGGATATGACCCGGACCACTGAGAATATATTCATCTTTGCCTCAAATCAACTGAGCTGAAATTCTCTCAGATTGATGGAGGGTGGGGTGGCTCTGTAGGCCAGCCAACCATGAAAAGGTGATACACAGAGGACCAAAGACCTATGTTGATCTTTTCTCCTGGCTAAGCCTGTCTTCTTGGTCATTTCTGTGAAAGGCATGGTGATGGTTTAGAGAATCCATGAATATGGGTGGATTCTAGCCCCAAGGTGTTAGTTTGACAATAGTGGCCAATAGTGTTCTTTACTGAGTGGTGTATTTCAGTGGAGTGAGAGCATGCTGACTTTTCTGGCGGTCGCAATGTGTCTGTGTGTGTGTTCTTAACCATAGGACAGTATCTTAGACACCTTTCTCTATTGCTAGAGGAGGTAATTCCAGGTCTGGATGCTTCTGCCATCTAAGTCCCCTACTGTAGGCTCTGGGAATAGAAGTGTTTCTACATTTTTGAGGAGCATTGCCATTCCTGGGACTCTCTACCTCTCTACCCCCCCCCCATACACACACACTGTAGAAGTGAACCATTCATAGTCTGGCTGACATCTAGGCTTTAATGGAAGCCATAAAACCAAAATGGAGCGACAACCCTCCTTCAGATAGACACAGTGTCAACCTCATGTACAATATTGACCACTCATCCCCAAGATACCCCAGAATGGAGAGAGACAAACTTGAGGACACAGCTGAAATGAGCCTCTCTGGGGCTCTTGATCTGCTGATTTTCATCTCTTGATCCGTTCATTGTTTGGGGGGGACTGTGACTTCAGGCCAAAAACAGAACTCTCCTTTGACTTGTCATTCAATGAAAGGACTTAATTAGATCTTTTGTCTTTTCCTTTGTATGTACAGAAGTGCTTGAGGAACCCAAGAATTTTTCCTGTGAAACCCAAGACTTTAAGACTTTGAAATGTTCATGGGAACCTGGGGTAGACACTGCATTGGCTTGGTCTCAACAACATTCCCAAAGCTACACTTTATATGAATCGTGAGTCTGCTCTGACTTCATCATCTTAAGGTTCTTCCTTGTTTAATAGTCACATGACAAGCAATTCTCTCTTAGAGAAGCACATGCCCTTAAAGTGTCTTTAGGAAGTGCCCAACTCTACTTCATAAAAAACAAAAAAACAGAGCACAAGCAGAGCTACACACAGACACTGCAGGAAATGTGTGTACATATTTCTCTTTGTCTCCACAGGGCTATAGAATCTTCTATCTGATGTGCTCTGAAAGAACATGTACAATAAAAATTAAAATAATCAATTGTGTATCTTTATACTAAAATAGTCCTATCTGTTGGCATGAGTTGTCCCATTTTTTTCTAAATTTTTAAGAAGACTCAACTAGATTAATCGATATACCACTCACAAGGAAATTTCATCACATATAGAAATTCACTGAGATATTTTCATTAGTGGCATCCATTGGTGAAAGTCAATGAATTTACAGTTTAAAAGTCCCAAGAAATCAGGATACATCTGCTTTGATGGAATTATTGAAACCCTGTCTTTTCTGTCTTGTTTTGTTCCATTTTTGAAGGTTCTCTGGGAGACGTGAGCTTTCTAACCACAGAAACTCGCATAACTGGCAAATCACTGAAAAGTCACAGGAAACATATAACTTCACACTCACCACTGAAAACAACCTAAGAAAAAGAAGCGTCAACCTCATCTTCAACCTGACCCATAGAGGTGAGACGGGATATGCCACAGCCCATGGAGGCCACCTAATATACCATTTTATACTGTGATACCTGTGCAGTAGATGCTAGCCCCGTTCACAACCCAAGTGAAACTAATCTTTGTGCTTCCATTTTCACACTTACCTTCACTGATGTGTGTCTCCTGACGCACTTGCTTTGATCATGTCTCAAGTATCAGTGAGCTCTCTGACAAACTCTACAGCTAGCATTCTGGCATATACTTATTGCATGGTCTATCCCAGAACCTCTCTCTACTCTTCGGCTAAAATTGTCTGTTGCTTTAAGTTGTGTGTAGGAATGTGGATGCGTGTTTTCATTTCCTATTTGTTCTAAGGATCTGAGAAGTTTGGGCCTTATTGTATATCAAGCCATCTACAAGCAATCTAGTAGTTATTTTTATAAATTAAGTTGTCATGATGTGTTAGCATGGGGCTTATTGCTGTGGTCTCTTAACACATTCTCCCATGAATTTGATAAACTTTGTTGCTCCACTCCCTACTAACATAAAGAAGGCTAGTGGATGCTCAAAGGTACTGGCCTTGTGCATTTCCCCATTATTAAACACTAGATCTTTTTGCTTAGTTGCCACAGATTTTTTTTTTCTTTAAAGTATAGCAATTGTAGTGGAGTTTGTCTATTTTAGGTAGATATTTTTCAGTAAGATGGTATGTTCTTTCAGCATGGAGTTATAGATGTTTTTTAAAATATATCTTTGAGGTACAGTGTTCTGTATTTGCTCAAGAATCTGTCCTATTGCCAGACAATGAGCATTAAGGAAGATTAAAGGCTGAATCAGACTTATTACCTCCTTTCCTGAATGCTCCTCAGAAAGTACAATTATCTATTTGTTATATCTGTAATGGGTACCACTTTCTCTCGAATTCTTCTTACTTTAGAAGATCATTCCTTTTACCTCCTGTTTACCTAAAAATCTACTCGCTATGCATCCTCCTCAATCCCAAAGTTCTTTCTTGGTTCTCTGCTCATATTATTCAATTTTGTCAAAAGTTCAACTATCTCGACTACTTTTAAAACCAATTTTTGGCTATCATTAAATGTGTTTTTTTGCCTTTTTATGTGCCTTGTTATGATAACATATCCCTTGTCTGTTGTTGAATTTTCACTTTACCCTTGTAACCTAATTTTCTTTGCTTTTTTGAATTTGGTCTGCTGCTCCTTTTATTTCCTGACCGTCCCACAAATAAGAAATAAAACCAAAAACTCTCAGTGAAAAGTCAGTTTGGGACATCTGAAACAAACCAGGAAGTTTTGACATTTTAATGCTTTCTCTATGAACTATGGATGTTCCCCACTCAATTCACAAACTAATCCACAAATTATTAGGGTCTTTAAAAATCTCAAACGGATGACATTTTTGGATAGTAATTTTGGACAGAACTTCATTTTAATCATAAATTTCTGTGCCATCTGTGTTCATTGAACTTTCTGAGGTTGGGTTGGGGGTCTTGGACCTGGCTGTCAGCAGTTTACCCGTGAATAAAACATCCTCCCCCTAAAGCCTTGGCGTGCATAATCTAGGATGGCGCTGATAATTTACAGCTTCCGTAGGTGCCACTTTCTTCTGAATTCTTTCTACTTTAGAAGCACATTCCTTTTGCTTCATTTGCTTAAGAATCTAGCCATTGTGCACCCTCACTCCTGTGGTCCTTTCTCAGTTTGTGTTCTGTCTTTGCTCTCCTTACTCAAGTTTAGCGAGATTGAATAATGACGCTGCATCAGGGCAGTGCATGTGTCAGTTCAGGGTGCTACTCAGTCCTCCCTTACACACTATTGTTTGATTTCTCATTGTATTTCCATAAGTTTTTGCTTAATATATCTTGAGGAATTTTAAAATTAGGTTTGCATCTAACATGTCTGTATATTCTGTATGCTAACAGCAAGACTTCCTATATCTTCCTGAAACTTGTGGTTATTGAAAGTCCGTGGTCTGGTTGCTCTAAAAAACTGCTGCTTTGCTTTGCAAGTCACTCTGCGGACTTTCTGTTGACAAGTTATGAACGGCTCCGGCACCTCATACTTTAGCACATGAACTTGAGTTCCTCTGCAAGCATCTATTGTGTTACTGGGTCACAGATGTCAGAAGATGGATGAGGATGCGAGAACAACCCAGTCTCAGCAGCTCAAATCCTAAAGTGTGAAAAATCTGAGGATAGAGAACTGTAATTAACCACTCTTCCCTGTAGCAAACAGACCCTCAGATTAGGTTTCCATCTCGCCCCAGTCCTTCCACCCCCATCAAGCAAGAAAGAAGGGCAGGGACAGATCATGTGACCATCACCACAGCCTGTGGTTTGGCTTAAGAGCAGCTTGGATTCTCCACACCCAATTTTAGTCAAAAGATTGCCATCTACTGGCCAGATGGCTGCTGTGGCCCTCACTCTGGTTTTGGTTTGACAAAGCTATCAGTCAGCCTTGCTGAACGGTCAATCTGTAGGTTTTAGATTCTCCACATAGACCTAGGAAGAGCTTAAGCATCTTGATGGGTGACTCAACCCTTCTGGTAACCAAGACATTTGTTCATTGGGGGTAATTGGTCCCCACCTTAAATTTCATTGAATAATGAAGCTCTGTGAATCCTGTCTCATTTCACTGGTGGCATTTGCATGTAACCAACTAAGAACTGGTAGTTCACACGACAGTGGCACATGTAATGCTCTGGTTATCTGATGTCTGGTCTAAGAGATGTGTCCAGCAGCAATCAAAGAACTTGACAATGCTGGCAGTCCCGGGAACTTGGGAAGCTGAGATGGACGATCATGAGTTTGAGCCTAGCCTTTGTAATAAATACATTGAGACCCTAAAATGAAGGACAAAACAAAAAAGAGTGGAGCACGGTTTGGGGGGTCAATGCACAAGCCCCAAATATGAAAGTTTTACATACCTGGTGGCAGTTTTCTGTTGTCATACTCTCTCCTCATCACACTTGGAGGCTCTGGACATCTGTGACAATTTGCAGACTCTAAAGGTTTTGAGAGTGAGAGTGTGAGGGTTGGGCCATAACTTGCTGAATGGCTTGCAAAGCGTCCTGTAGCACGAGGCTCCAGGAGGTTTCGCACCTTGTTGAGGAGGGCCAAAATGACATGGAGATTGTGTGTAATGCTTCTGGGGAGAAACTCAAATGTTCCTTAACTCCTTTTTATTAGGGTTAATCAGGCCAACCAACCACTTTTTTAAAATGGGAGACTCTTGGCTTTCGGCTCCTATGACCCTGGAATTTGGCATGCTATAAGAAGTCTGCTATCTGTCTTCATCCTCAGAAGAGCTTTTTGAATAGTCAACTTGGTTGTCACACAGTGACAAGGTTGTTTGAAACATTTTCTTAAATCTGTGTCAAGTCCCATATAAACAAGGTCGTGTCCTGTTCTCTATTCCTTATGCAGGACAGTGGTTGTTGAGTAACCTAGAACTCAGGTGACAGGCACAAATGGACATGTCCACTGTGTAGGTAAAAGTCTCAGCTGGGAGGGGGATGCTCCCCAGACAGAGGTAACGTCGTATGCTAAGGATGGTCCATATTTCTCTGTCTGTACTGTACCTGATAATGAAAAGGCCTAACCCAGAAGCAGATAAGCAGATGAGTGCTGGGGTCACTTTTTGTCCTTTAACTGCTTGAGGTCATCAGCTTTATTATTTTTCTTCAAGCAACTAGGAAATACTCTGTTGTGGGCTCCACTATCCAAAACCACAGAAAAGTCTGAATTCTCTGATTTTTCCATGTGATGTTTATAGCCTATACCCATTCTCCATCTTTCCCAGGCGACTCCCAACCAGGGTTTCATTTCCCATACTGTACTTTCTGGTTCTAAAATTCTTAATTGGTTCTTTTTTTTTTTCTCATATTATTATTTAGTTTACCCTTCATTCTACACGCTATTCTCTGAGCAGAGAGGTAGAAATTTAAAGGGCGGTTTGATACTATGCTCAGCTCACAGAATGATTCTTGCCAGACTGGTGGTCCCAAGCATGTGTTTTCCTCTCTGGTGGGCCATAAATCCACGCATAAAGTTGTTGGCTACCGCTATGGCGTTACCACTGTCACATCTGTAAACATCTCACTGGACTGGGCTTTATTAATATCCACTGGGATCACTGGTGGTAAGGTGTTCATTGGCTCACCCCCCCCACCCCAAACACACACACAGCAGTCTGCATGGCACCTCCCAGGAAGCTATCTAGCAGCAGGAAGCTTTCTGGTGACGATTGACTTGATTGCCCCATGTCCTGTCACTAATGTGTGTTGCATCTTCAGTAATATGATCTTACCATAAAGTTCTACTGGGCAACCAAGAGCACTGGTGAGAGCCGGCACTATTTTAAGATGCTCTGGGACATCTCCGATCAACAACTTGTGGGAATGTGCTGGGGTTTTGTTTTTGTTTTTGTTTGTTTGCCAATGTATGGCACCTGGGATGAGCATAGGGTAACTCCAACTGAACTTTCAAATGAAAAAAAAAAAATTCCATATACGGTGCTTATGACTAGTTGTTTTCTATGTGGCTTTTCAAACATCCTTGGTGTTAGTTATCTCTCCAGACCCCTCCCATCCTCAGTCATACCTCTTCTTCCTGAAACCTACCTCTTTGTTCCCCCTTTCTTTTTTCCTGTTGCTAGTTTCAGTTTCTTTGAACAGTTTGGCTTTGGCTCACCGACTTTTCTCAAACTCTCATGTAGCAGTTCTATCATATCGGTCATTTGGAGGCTGACATTTGTTAATGATCTTTTCCCTTGGCAACTGGTGACATTATTCTGGAATGTTTTGCATTTAACTTGTTCGGGGTTATTCCTTGACGTTGTTAACGTTACTTTAGTTAGACTTAGACCGTATTATAACCTTTCTCTACGGGCTGCCATCTTGAAGTTTTGACTCTCCTGTACTACCTGACTGATTATATTTAATTTTAAGAGTCTGTGTGTAGTTGCTTTTTGTATTTTATTTCAGTGATTAACATATAAAGCAATTAGTGAGTGAAAAAGATTGTATACTTGACATAATACATGTTGACGGCAAGCCCAGGGATGTTTGCATTTTTTTAAACATAAGCAAAAAGCAATGGTGAACAAATAGTGATGAAATGAATTGCTTATTTACTGAACTCTGTTTTGGTTATGCTTGAGTTCTCTTTTTGTTTCTTTTTCTTTTATTGACAGTTCATCCAAAGGCTCCTCAAGATGTTACCATTGAAACTATAAGTGCTACAAAAGCCAACATGACTTGGAAAGTTCAGACCTATGGAGACAAATACACACTTTTGTGTCAGGTTGAACTCCAACATGAAGGAGAAGTGATATATGTAAGAGCTTTCTTTGTTTACTATTTAAAAATCCTTGATTTACCTAAACGGAAAGGTAGCAGAGATCAGATTTTTTTTTTCAGCTTGGGTGGTACATACCTGTAATCCTACCATTCAGGAGGCACACACCTGTAATTTTACCAGCTAGGAGGCTAATTCAAGACATCCCAAGTTTAAAGTTGCCTTTAGCTACACAGTGAGGCTCTATCTGCAAAAACAACCAAAATGCAAACAAAAAATTGCCTTGCTTCAGACCACACTGCTGTGCACACCTGTAACTTGAGAGGCAGAATCAGGAGGATTATTACAAGTTGGAGGCCAGCCTTATGCACACAGTAAGTTCCAAGCCAGGCAGGGCTGCATTATAAGACCTTGCTCCCAAACAGAAAGAACCCAACAATAAGAAAAACCCACCAATCAGGCCTTTATGCCAACATTGGTTCATAGATGATCTGTTGAAAGGGGCCTCTGAAATTGATTTAAACATTTAGCATGAAAAAAAAAAAAAAAAAGACAGGGAAAAACTTTCCCCTTGAAGAAGATCTGGTCTTAATCCAAATTAGAGATCGCAGTGCTCTGATTTGACTTTGCAACACAAATGCAGCTCTAGTCTTTGTTTTTTCCTTCACTTTCTTAACTCAGGAGCACAATGTTTCCGTCCACATGAGCGCAAACCAGCTCTTGAGTGATCTGGAGCCGGACACGAAGTACAAGGCTCGTGTTCGCTGTGCAGGAGCCAACCGCTTCTGGAAATGGAGTGACTGGGCTCAGGAAACGTTCAGCACACCTGAGGCTGGTATGTGTGGCTCCCTGCCATTGAACTCACAGGTCTAAGTCTCAGAGCTTTCATTTGTGTCAAATGCTGAGAGGAAAATGTTAAAACAAAGTGTGTCATTCTTTAAAGCTGGATGAAAATGCCTAATAAGCAAGGCATTTGGTAATGGTGTTTCTTCCAGTGTGTGTCCTCAAGTCATCTCTTTACGATTGCTGGGTTTGCTTTGGATTTGGGTGTGGATCTTTAACTCAGGACTGGGACAAAAGGATGTTAGTGCCTTTGAAAGTACTGGCCTGATACCACACAGCACTAGGCTGTCCTTGGGAATGCCATGGTTTCTGGGACAGTCATCCTTATTAGTAAGTGATGCTTTTGGTGCTGGTACTCTGGGGCCCTCTCCAATTGTCTTTGGTACTTAAGGTTTCTTCAGGCCTGAGTGTGCATGAGAACTATGCCCCAGGATTTAGATGGGTGTCAGGAAATGAGCTGGCCCGGCCCAGCTCTCAACTCTTTCCATTTCAAGATAAGTCATGGCTGCCATCCATTTCCTAGATGAGGCAACTTGTAGGCAAGGGTTGAAGGAACTTGTTGTGCTTGTACTGTCAATGAACAGCAGATACATGATAAAGCAGGAGCAGCTCACCTCTAATTGTGACATCTTGTACTTTTTATTTCATACGCAGCAACTGTTCCTATTCTCCTACCATAGAGGAGACCACTAAGGCAGAGAGGCCCAGCAAGTGTCCGCACTGGGAGTCCCCGCCAGCAGCCTGGCCCCGGAGCACCAGGGCTGCAATAAGGCTCTGCATCCTCCCCCTCACTCTCCCTCTGTTGTGTAATTACAGCCTTGATGTCATGAGGACTCAGGCCCTAGCTTTGTTACTGTCAAAGGAAAGGTTGTATGTGCAGTTTTTCATCCCTTCTTGCTGTCTGCGTGTAGACAGCTGAGCTTTTGTGGCATTCTAGAAGTACCGTTTTAAAAAAGGAGAAAAACAAAGGCAAGTATTCAGCCTCTAAATGAGATGGCTATGGTAGGGGTCAGCTTCCCACTTTCACCCTGTGGTTGCTTCCTAGCTCACACCCACCAAAAATATGGTCATTTTGTAGGATGTGCAGACTTCCCAAGAAAAGCTGTAGTGGTATTCACCTCCGCTGTTGAATTATTAAATAACTAATTTTAATGCTGTCAGCTTCCTTTATATCTGTGCACATTTTATCAATGTTATAACTAAAGTGTTGTGTAAGGGGAAAACAGCAAAGGAGAGGACTGTCTTTGGATTACAATACAGCAAATATAAGAAGATGTATGCCTGCTTTGTATGAGGTGAGGGTGGGAGAAGATGCCTCAGTGGGTAAATGTGGATGCCACCAAGCCTGACCTCACTTTCCTCCCGTTTCATACCTGAGTTTGGTCCCTGAGACCACAAGGTAGGAAAAAAGAAGCAACCTCATCATGTTTTCCTCTGTCCATACGGGCAGCAAGACACTAGGACCCATACACATACACACAAACACAAGCACACACAAATAAGTAACCAAATACAAATTTTTAAAAGAAAATGAGTTGAATCTACTAACAGTGAATCTTATCTCCACTGTCCTCTTATCTCCTTCCAAGTGCTGAGAACTCCAGTGTTTAATTGGATTTTAACAACGTAAAATAGTATGCATGGAGTTAAATGACAGCATAGTAGAAGCCTAGTGTATTTAAACATAAAGCACTACCAACTGTACAAACCACCTTTTTTTTGTAATGATTTATAGACCAACTCAGGATTTGGGGTGGGATCTGATGCTGTCCTTACTTCCCAAGCTTTGTTTAGCAAGTTAAAATCTGCTCCCATGTTTTAAAGGCATATATGACCACCTTGAAGATTTGTGCGAAGTGTCAGGAACTGAAAGAAACGAATGAGCTGCTTATTGATTGCAGTTGGTCACTGTTTTCTAACACAAGGGTAGATTTTTGTGTGCTGTGCCTCCTCATGGCCCTGCTTTCATAGAATTTCAAATCACATCACTGTCCTCTCAAAAGAAAGGAAAGAAAGAAAGAAAGAAAGAAAGAAAGAAAGAAAGAAAGAAAGAAAGAAAGAAAAGAGAAGAAAAGAAAAGAAGGAGAGGAAAAAAGGAAGAAAAGAAAAGGAAGGAACATAAAAGGGTGAAGCAGGTTTATCTTGTTAAATTTATAACAGTTGATGTAACATGTTCATGTTACAAATAGACAACATTTTGAAGAAGACTTTCTTTGAAAAAGCTGAAGTCCAACGAGAGTAGCTGTAGTTTTACTCCCGACTCAGCTGAGAATGGATTTCTGCACATTCACAGGCTGACTGTAGAGACTTTCTGAGTTTGAGTCTGAGTTGTGCCCTTAGGACCTCACTGTAGAATGAAGCCATACCTGTGAGTCTCCACGAACCGGAAAAAGAGTGCCAGCTGCGTCCACTTTCTTGATTATCTTCTTTAGGTGTGTAGATTTCATTATGTTTATCATATCTTGTAGGTCTATATAAGCGAGTATATACCAAGTTTGTCTTTCTCCTTCTGGGATACTTCACTCAGAATGATCTTTTCTAGATCCCACCACTTGCCTGCAAATTTCATGATTTCCTCCTTTTTGATTGCTGAGTAGTATTCCATTGTGTAAAAATACCACAATTTCTGTATCCATTCCTCCGTTGATGGACATCTGGGTTGTTTCCAAGTTCTGGCTATTACAAATAAAGCTGCTACGAACATGGTTGAACAAATGTCCTTGTTGTGTACTTGGAAAGGGGCAGGGAGGAGACCAGGGAGGGAGTGTGGGGTTGGGGAGGGAATGAGGGAGCGGGATACAGCTGGGACACAGAGTTAACAAAATGTAACTAAAAAGAAAAATAAAATTAAAAAAAAAAAGAATGCCAGCTGCGCTCTCAGCAGACTCACCTCACCTGTAGCTGAGAAAGCCTGCATTTTCTCTATGCTGTTCTCCCATTCACATCAAAATACAACCATAAAAATACGATGGAAATTTTGGTTCTATGTAGAACACACAGTATTACGCAGGTATCGAGCAAAACAAATTGCAAATTAAAAACTACACACCTGTTTTAGTAGTACTTCCATCCATTTTTTTAAAAGTAAAAGTCAACCATGAAAAATACATTTTAGAAGTTTAAAAGAAATCACATTGATACTATCATTTTTGCATCACAGAAGCTTGCTTATGAGCATTTCATTGAACTTAGGCCAGCAACGTAAGCCTGAAAGTGACCATCAATCTCCTGAATAGGTCATGGCTGAGAAATTGTCAATCATGAGTGTAGTGGCTTTATTCTGCCTTCTGCATGTTTTGAACAATTAGCTTAGTCTCTCTGAACCTTATTTTCCTTATTGAGAAAATGGAGTAAATAAGAATGGCTGTGCTGTAAGAGAGGAAATGAGTCACTATGTAAAATGGTTGAAATGGGCATGGCACCTAATTACCATCCTATAAATTTTAGCTACTGTTTTATGCACTAAATCTGATCCCAAATAGTTTAAAGGTAGGTACCCAGAGTGGTCTTGGGTTAATAGACTAGTTCAGCTGGCTGGAGGTTCAAGGATCTGGGTTCAATTCCTAGTACTGAAAAAAATACAGAGAGTGATTAAATATACAGGTGATTAAGTATAGAGATGATAGATAGATAGATAGATAGATAGATAGATAGATAGATAGATAGATAGACAGACAGACAGGAGACAGACACAGAGAGTGATTCCTCCATATATCAATGGAGTGAGCACAAATACAATGCAAATCAATTCTCAGTTTCTGTAAATTTCTGCATTAAGGTCAGAGAGGAAAGACTGGAACATTTAAGCAGGTTGTTTCTGGGCTTTTATTTTCCTTTTCACTCTATAGAAAGTGTGTCTGGAGCTTGCCCTAAGACCCAGGCCCAGAGCGTGAAGCTAGGTTTAGAAATCAGATGAGCCAAGGCCTGGCTGCAGTGATTCCGTCTTCCACCATACAGTGAACTCTTGGAAGCAGAACATGGGGCCATGACTTGGGGAGCAGGCCTCAGGTCCACTGTATGCCCATAGGAGATAGATGACAGGGAGTGTAGGGGATGAAGAAGTCTTTCCAGGTTGTGACTCCAGTGAGGGATCAGGTGAAGGAAAGCCCCGAAGGGCCCCTGAGCTTATTGCCCCAAGGGCCAAGGTTAATGTGTTGTGGCTCTACCTTAGCCTTGCACGTGGCAATAGGTTGCTGTCTAGAAAAATAAAAATGGAAACCTTTCCTAACTTCTGGTAGAATTGTCCTGATAAATAAAAATCACTTAGTGGCTTCCAGATGCCATGGACTGGCCCAGTCAGAGTTCCACACCCTCGGGAAAAATCAGGCTTTCAGATATCAGGTTAGGCACAGATAGGCGAAATGACAGAGACCACACCAAGTAATGTTGGTTTGGATCAGCTGCGCTTTACTGAAGTCAAGCCAACATTTATATAGTGATTGCATAAAGAAGCACCTAAAGTTGACATATTTCCCGGAACATTTACAAAGTTTATATTTTAACTGAAGGCGATCTGGTGAAAGGCAGTGTCTTCAAACATCTTGGCCTAAAAGCCTCTTAAACAGAGCAAACATAGAACTAGCGTTATTGCTGCTAATTTAGTGAGTAGAGGGCCAGGGGCTGTTGAGCTAAGTCGGCTAAAGATTTACAACCCCCCTAGAGATAAGCACTGAGGGACCTCCTGTTTGTCTTGCTAAGGATTTACAATCTTTCCTTAGAGATAAGATGCTTGAGATAGCCTGTCTGTAAAACTCATAGTATAATATAAAACTCTCTGACCTCTTATGTTTGCCTATCTTCTTTTTGCCTCATCATAAACACCTGTGTTTGGTAATGGTTTTGTAGTAGTTTTACTGCAGTGGGAATATCCAGAGCATTTATCCTAATAGATCCTGATTAAACATTTTCTTTAGAAAGCCCTAAAACTCTTGTTCCTTTACTACCTACAGTGTTTGGTTTTTCCACAAGCAATTCCTGATGCTGAATCTGATTTATTACCTCTCCTAAAATTTTATTTTCCTTCTACTCTTATTTGCTAAAGCTTTTAGTAATCTATTAGAAATGTGTTTCCTTGAATAGTTAACTGTGCTGTTCCAAGAATCATAGAGAAACAGCAAAAAAGCTCATCAATCCAATCTTGCAACCAAGGAAGCGTGGGACTTTCAGAATACATCTTTTTGGCTTAGGTGGCCATGTTAGGGTTCTTGCCAGTGACTTCCAGGAAGCTGATTCCCATAGGAAACGTATCTTCCGTCTGGCAACATAATTTTATGCTTACATAGCACATTTTTATGTTTACACAGACGACTCTGGAGTTAGTGTGGTATCCAGAGGCTCTAGGGCTGACTTGTAGGCGTTGAGTTTCATATTGTTAATCCTTATCATTAAAGCACCTTCTGTAAACTTATGTGGAAATGTTCTTAATGTAACGTGGTATTCATATACAATGAATATAGACAGTGAAAATACTTAAAGCCCAAACTATGAGTGCTTTGTGAGCAGTGTGGCTGTGGACCGTGGATAGAAGTCACAGAAAGTGAGAGGGCTGGCTGGCAGGTCCTGAGGAGGATAGGTAATCCTCATGGCTTAGAAAAGCAGTTCTCAACCTGTGGGCCACAACCCCCAGAGGGTAGCATATCAGCTATCCTGCATATCAGGTATTTACATTATGATTCATAACAGCAGAAAAATTACAGTTATAAATAGCATAATGTTGATCTTGTATTATAATCTAATAGATTTGAAACTTTTGTATTTACGTATCCATGATTTAAAACTAGAATATGTGACTCTAGATGTAGTTTCGTATCTTGAGCCTTGAAAAAAGTTATAGTAGGCCTGAGTCGAACACATAGAAATATTTTTATGGCTGGGGGTCACCACAACACGAGGAACTGTGTTTAAGGGTCTCGGCATTGGGACGGTTGAGAACCACTGGCTTAGAAGAACATGGGAATTATGGCCTGCTTTGCACATAAATGTGACCTGTGAACCTTTCTTTGGTTAATTTCAGCCCCCTCACAGCCTCTTGATGTGTGGAGACAAGTGTGGCCAGAGAATGGAACAAATGCTGTGGCCCTCTTCTGGAAGGTAAGGAGCGCAGCCTCAGAAGGTGTGATCTACTGCTTCTGAAGAGCAGTGCCCACCCCAGCCAGGAGAAACCTTGGTGTCAGTCTCTCCCGGCTGGTTATCAGGTAGAAGGACCCATTCCATTGCCATGTCCTAGTGCTTGTTCTACAATTTCCCTGAGCCCAACTGATGGCTGAGGTGATTTTGATTGTTAGAACCTTTTCTGTATGTTCTACTCAGGCCTACCATAACTTTCGCAAGGCTGAATACAGGGAGCTACATCTAGAGTCACATGCCTTACTTCTAAACAAGGAATACGTGAATACAGAGGTTTCAAATCATGCTATAAAATTATAATAGAAGACCAGCATTATCCTTCCACGTGACCTGACACACCGTGTGGCAACCTGCAAGCCAGCTTTGTATTTAGAGCGCTGAGATTCCTCGATGTCTCATACCAAAACCTGGTGATAAGAGATGGCTGGCAAGTGGTCACAGCCTCACCAGCTTTTCTTCTCCCCTCAAGTTTGGCACATTCTTCCAGGCTCTGCATACACATGTCTGTCTCTGCTCAGCCTATGTCTGAGTTCTGTCCATACCCTGATGGGATAGCTGCTGCTTGCTCTGAGATCTAGGGGTACACAGAGCAAGACACTGCTGTCCCAGGAAAGGCAGACCTCATGAATCCTGGATGGGTGCTAAGCTGGGACCGTGAGGGCAAGGACTTCTCCATAATCATGAGCATCTTCCACAAGAGGGAGTGTGGGCTAGGTGGCAGAAGTCAGAGTGAGCCAAGACTAGGTAAAAAGAGGCCAGGACTCGGGCTCTTCTAGAAAGGGCCTGGGGATGCTGCTTTCTTTATATTCTCTCAGCTGCCTTCCACCCTTACTTCCTCCAGAGCTAAGGAGTCTATATTCCTCTTAACTTTTGACTCAGATCATTCTTGCTGGATAAACTATACATTTGTTTTATTCTGAGACAAGTTTTCTCTGTGTAGCCTTGGTTGTCCTGGACTCACTTTGTAGACCAGGCTGGCCTTGAACTCACAGAGATCTGCCTGCCTCTGCCTCCTGAGTGCTGGGATTACAGGTGTGTGCCACCACACCTGGGGCATAAATCTTTACTATAATCTCTAAATGATTTTTTTTTCTGATTTCTTCAGTTAGACTGAAACACCTGATTCTAAGCATATGTGCATATATATTTGTGCACATGGACACACACAGACAGACATGTGTATCTTAATATGTTTATATGTGTGTATGGGTGAATGTGCTAGTATGTGTGTGTGCACATGTGTGTGCATACAGGGATGTATGTGTATATGAGTGGATACGGTCTTATATGTATGTGGAGTGGACGGAAATGAAAAAGTAATCTTAGAGTAAAGCCCATTTTGAAAGGATTATCATTTTTTTTCAGCCGCTATCAAATTCACAGGCCAATGGCAAAATCAAATTCTATAATATAGTTGTAGAAAATCAAGACAAACCAACTAAGCCAGAACACTACTCTATCCGAGCACCATCCACTGTCATAAAACTGAACCTTGATCGGCGTCCTTACAAGATTAACATCACAGCCAACAACAGCGCGGGTGCATCGCCTGAGTCAGTGATGGTCATCTCCAATGATTCCGGACATGGTGAGTCAGCATCAGCAAATTTGGCTTCCACTCTTGAGAAAAACGTTGATGATGTTTCCAAGTAATAACAGACAAATACAACCATAACTTGAGGCAACCATGTGCTGTTAGGCACTCCTCCAGAGCTGGGTGTATCAGCAGGTTGCCGTGTGACAATGCCTTCACAGCAACCCAGCACCATCTGTCCTGGACTCTTCAGCACACTTAAGGATCATCTAAAATTCATTTGCTCTAAAATCCATTATGCAGTCCCCCAGCAATCCCCGAGAGTCATAACAGTAGTGTCCTAGAGATTTTGGTTTTTGCAGTATGGACCGCATTTACAGTGCTGTAACCAATATTTGCCCACCGCTGACACCTATAGAGAGTTTACGGAACGGCCATGCTGATGGGGCACGTCTCTATCCACAGCACTTGGGAGATTGAGACAGGAGGATCATGAGTTTGAGACCAGCCTCTACTACGCAGTGAGACTATGTTGAGGGAGAACAGGGGTAGGGGCAAAAGAGCCCATGGACATCGTAAGTAGAGCTGATATACTCTTTCAGGAGACTTTGTAATTTTGCCAAGTTTGTAGAGTAACAACAGATGATAACATACCAATCCTTCAGCCAACTAAAGAGTGAGCAAAGTGGAAGTGATTGCACATCTAAATCCAAGAATTACATTAATGCCCTTCTGGACTGAGCCATAGACAATCCGGGCATGCTAAGTCCCCAGTCACCTGCTATGAGACAGTGCTCATGTGGACAAGAGGCAGAAAGGAGTTGACATGTTGAGATCATTAATGCACTGTTCAACAATGCCATCCTTTGGTTCTTGCTCTTAAACGTGCCAGGATCTGCTCATGGATTCAGTTTAAGTTTAGGCTAAGTGAGCCATATTAGAAGGTTTTTTTTTTTTTTTTTAAAGAACTGTTCCGTGTGAAATCCGTACTATTGCTCTGGTGTAGGTAGGGCCACACTTTGACCTTGAGACTGAAGAATTTTACCCATTTCCACAAAATTGCACTAAAACCTGCAGTTCACATTACTCTGAGCCTCCTGCCTCACCTGGCAGTTTTAATTACTAGTTAATATTGGCATGAAAGTAAGGTGCTGTTCATCTTTCTGGGTCATGAAATTGTTCTACATCAGGAGCAACCATTAGGGTGTACAGCTGTAAGCATACGGTGAAAGTCCTTGAGACTGTTTCTTCATTGTGCTAGTTCCCAGCTGGCTTAGCCACATGGCTTCCTCTTCTTCCTCCACCAAGGAAATGAATCTGTTTCACCCCTAAATGGCATTCCCCCTTCACTTACTCATAAATTTGAGAAATGTGGACCCTCACTTTGTAAGAAGCGGGCTGCACACTCAGAGTAGTGGGAACAAGAAGTTTATGTCATGACTAGTTGTGAACCCAGAAAGGCCATTGATGGGGCAGGAAAAACAGCTAGGAGGGTCAGGTGGATGGCCTAGCAGGCAAGCTTGGCTGTTGGTAATCTGCTGCTCTATGCTTTTAGCTTGTCTGGTGGCGGCGAGGGCATGTCCTTAGCAAGCTGTCAGCCAGGTTCATTTGTAGCTTCACCTAAGCCAGCTGGATCCACTTTTGAAAAAGAACCATTACAAATGAACCGTGTACAATCGACATTCCACACAGGGTCCCCATGCTTAACAAGTGGCTTCTACGAAGCTGCAGAACGTGATTTGAAGAATAAAGCCAGTGAGGGACACCCTGCCCTCCACCCTCTACCGCAGCTAGAAGTCCTTCCCTGTGCGATACTGTGTTGGTCAGCTTGCCACTGCTTTTTCAAAGCACCTGAGGAGAAACAACTTGGAGATAAAGTGTGTTCTGGGTCACAGCTGTAGAGACTATAGCGTGTTTGCTTGGCCTGGTGCTTGGGGGCTGTGGGAAGATGAATGGGATCCTTTTGTGATAAAGCAAAAGCTACTCACCTCGTGGTGCTTGGGAAGCAAAGAGAGGACAGAGCCAGGGCCCTAATGTCTTATTTTAAATGTGCCTCGTATTCTAACTTTTGTCTTCCGGTGTCAACGTCTGACAAGTTTCTCCACTTGCAAAGAGTGCCACAAACAGGACATCCAGGGCTTTAGGCACAGACGTCATTGAGAGACATTTTAAACCAGAAGTATAGACAAATGGTGCAAGTACTGGTTCTATTTTCTTTGGAAATCATAAAAGAAATACCACAAAGTGAATCAGACATATTTTCCTATTTGTTTCTGCACAGAAGAGGTCTGGGAAAAAAGAATTCACGGTACAAAGGATGGATTTCGTATTTCTTGGGAGCCAGTATCTGGAGACGCTTTGGGCTATGTTGTGGACTGGTGTGAACATTCTCGGGGCCAGTACTGTAATCTGCAGTGGGAGAAGCTAGGCCCTAATATCACCAGCACCATCATCACATCCGGTGAGAGCTCGCAGCGCTCCTCCTTGCTTACCCCGGTTGCGGAAACATCAATTTAGACGTCAGTTCTGACCTGCAGATCCTTTGATCTAGGCTAACAATTTCGAAGTGACAATTCCAGCTTGGTTGCTTGGAAATCAGGTTTCCTGAGAATGAATTTTTGACCTCCGGGCTCAAAATCTATGACAGCGAGTATGTAAAGGCCCCTAGTACAGATTTTAATAATTTTTTTCCCCTCTGAATGAGAGGGCCATTGGAACTGTTTGCAGAAAGCCTTACAGATACAGACGACAGTGCATACTTGGGGCGTTTAGGGTATTGAGTCGATGGAAACAAGAAAATCAGCGTTCAATTTCACCAAAATCGTAGGCATGAACTCTCCCCTCCAACACCAAATCTACAACTTGAAAGTGCCTGCTCTTTTAGGGAAGTCAAAGGAACTCAAGTGAGTGGCTTACACAGGAGGCTCAGGTGACCATCTCTGGGGCTGACGGACTGAAGTGGTAACCGTCTACATTCAGGACTAGTGGTGGAGGCCCCTGCAAGAGTCAGGGACCTGTGAGGCTTGCACACAGGTTGTAGGGCTGCAGGTGAAAGAGGAAGAAAGGAAAGGAAGCCAGGCTTTCTTGACCCCGGGTTTTAATGGGAGCACCAAGGGCAAATACTTAAGGACGGTTGATGTCAAAAGCGGTGTTGGAGTAGAGTGAGTCTGCCCTGAGATGAGAGCAGGTTGAGATCCTGACTCAGAGCACACGGCAGCCTCTATGCACACGGCAGGCTTTTGAGACAGCACTGTGTTTGAAACAGGGAAGGTTCTGAGGCCTAAAGGAAGGAAGAAAGTCGTAGAGTGAGAAAATGGAAAGATCTTGAGAAAGAAACTACTAGCGAGTGCTCGCTCACTGTCCATCCCTTTTGACTCAGATGATATCCTCTGTCTTGTTAAAACCCTCTGAATTCTCTTCTCCAGACACTTTTGAACCAGGGGTCCGTTACGACTTCAGAGTTTTTGAACTATCTATGCAACAGAATGCTCGGTTGATAGAGCGACAAACAGGATACACCCAGGAACTGGGTAAGTGGAAAGCATTTGGCTTGCCTCATGAAGACTGGTTCTGGGCCAGCCAAATACCCATGGCTTTGTGTTTAGAAAGATCCCATTCCTGAACTGAATTTTCTGGTCCCATTTATTTTATAATTTGCATTGTTTTTTAAAATCATATAAATGAAATATCTTCATTTAAAGGAGATTTATAAAATGCTTCATGAAAAAGAATGAAATCATTGCTAATTTTTATACCCAAAGAGCAATATCTAATTAGTTTTATTATACACGGATACACATTTCTCTCTACTGGTACACACCTTTAAATAAAAATGGGCTCGTGCTCTACAGTTTGTTAACCTCTTTCTTGATTAATGCCACTAAGTATTATTTGACCACAGTGCTACTTCCGTGATTGAAAGGTACCCCTTCTATGCACATGCCAAATCACCTATTCTTGGACAATTTAGAATGAAGGCTAGGACTTTTACTCAGAAACTGTAAAATTTATCTTCAAGTATCTTGTAGCTCCAACTTGTAAATCTCTCTTTTGCTGTCCACTCTCTTGTGCCCAGTCTGAATTGCTTTCATTTTTAGCAAAGTCTTTATCTGCATCCATAATCACACGTATGTGTGTGTGTGTGTGTGTGTGTGTGTGTGTGTGTGTGTGTGTATGCGCGTGTGAGAGAGAGTGAGTGAGTGAGTGTGTGTGCAGGTGCATGTGGAGCCCAGAGAATGTCACTATTGTTCTTCAGGTGCCATATACCATGCTTTTTGAAACTGTCTTTCATTGGCCTGCAGCTCACCAGGCGGGCTAGGATGATTAGCAGCAAGCCCCAGAAATCACTGTCTCCCCTTTCTCACACACTGTGTTTCAAGCAAACACCACCACTCTCAGCTTTCTGTATTTGTTCTGAAAATCAGACTCAGGTTGTCATGCTTAAAAGCAAGCACTTTACCAAGTGAGCTATCCCCTCATGCCTGCGATGAGGTTTTTCTGATTGAATCTGGGAAGCAGAATCCTGGGTCAAAGGGCCTCACCTTCTGAAATAAGCTTCTCTCTCTCCCTTAAGAATTGTTGTAAAATTGCCCCCTGTAAACATTTACCCCTTCCCACTACCAGAATGGGATGTTTGCTCTTCCCGCTGAACGCTTTCCGGTCTCTGGACTCTGAAAGTGGGCTCCTGGTTGTCCCACCAATCAGATTCTAAAGCTCTTCCTTTGGGGATCTGATCCAGTATTCATGGCAGGCAGAGAGGAAAGGAGGAGGCTTGTCATTTGTGTCTCTGTGTGCTGACACTGTGTATAAAAGTACACACACACACGTGTGTGTGTGTGTGTGTGTGTGTGTGTGTGAGAGAGAGAGAGAGAGAGAGAGAGAGAGAGAGAGAGAGAGAGACGGGGAAGTGACAGGAGACCTGTCATTCCGTGGTGCATTCCCCGAGAATCTGATAACACGCATTGTCTGTCCTGGGAATTCCATTCTTTAAAACCCGTCTCATGTCTTTGAGCACAGCTTGCCTCTTCTGTCCCTTCCTCTTCATGCCTGTAGTTTCTATGGTTCAGAAAATACTGTTGAGGTGCCAAGGCCAGAATCAAGTCTAAGATATGACTTTTATTTTTTACTCTCCCCACCCCCACCCCCCAGTGACTTTTCTGCAGATTATTTATGCTCTCTGGGTATTTAATTCTTCATGTGGAAGGTTTGCATGAGAGCATTGTTCAGCTCCTTCCCGGAATGCATGCCTGTGTCTAGGAGGATATTACCCAGGGAAAGAGACAAGATTCCTTAGCTTGATGCAAGCTCTTAGTGTCCAGAGCTGCCTGTGCTCTGTGTTTAGTGTGCATACATGTTCTGAGACCATTCTCAGATTGTGACTTGTTCTTGTCCACTTTCCTTTCCTAGCTCCTTTGGAGAATCCGAATGTGGAAATTAAAAACTTGACCTCAAACTCCTTCGTTCTGAGCTGGCAAAATTATTCCAGTGACTCCCAGCCTGGTTTTATAAAGGGGTACAGTGTGTATTTGAAATCCAAGGAGCTGCAGTGCCACCAAAATTGGGAACGGCATCTTCTTCCAGGTGATGCTTACTCTTGGTTATCTACTGAGACTTGCAAGATCTCACCATCTGGAAAACAATGAAACTGCTGCTGAGTCTGTCCCCAGAGTTAGAAAAAAGGCACAGAAAAGGCTTCTACGTGACAGGAGTAGGCTGGAGACCAGGCTGATGCTCTTCCCATGTTGTTTTAGAACCAGTGGGCTAAACAAAAAGAGGTGTGAATGGAGGGAGAGGTATTTTAATTCACTTCAAAAGTAACGCAGGCCTGACCATCAATTAGCCCCTAAAGAAATCCTTCCCTTTAGAAAACCTACTTATTTCTCCAGCCCCTCCTTAAAAAAAAAAAAAAGAAACTCCATCAAATGTTTAATGTTTTGTTTTGTTTTTTAAATTTTGGTTTACTTACATGTTTGTGGTGCTGAGGACCAGACCCAGGGCCTTCCACACACTATGAGTAAGGAGTCTGTCTGTAAGCCACGTCTCTGGATTATTTTACTTGCCCTGTGTGTGTTTATTACGCCTGGCAGAGCTCTCTCCCTGTGCTATTGCCATTCCCTGCTGAGTGGATACTTTGCTTATTGTGGGCACAGGTTAAAAATGAGTGAAATTATAATCTGATCTGAAATTGGCTTAAGAATGCTGATGGTTCTGAGACAGCTGGGGTAGCTCTGCCTGGCTCTTCCAAGGTCTCTGCCATACTTTTTTCCTTCTTTTTAGTAAGTCAGGGTTCCATGCAGCCCAGGCTGGCTTGCACTCACTCTGTAGTTGAAGATGATCTTGAACTTCTATTCTTCCCACTGGGACTACAGGCATATGTCGTCATGTCCACTGTGTGTCCTGCTGGGAATTGAACCCATGGCCTGTGCATGCTAGGCAAGCCCCCTACTAACTGGCCACACGAAGGCCCCCACAACACTCTGAATATTGATTTTGTTGATGACAACATTGTTTTTCAAACACAGGTGATTCAGTGCTCTGTATATATGACATCAACGACCCGGAGAAAAAGACATTGACTGTGGAAAACCTTCAGCCAGAATCCCTCTATGAGTTTTTGGTCACTCCGTACAACAGCGCTGGCCAAGGACCCAATGAAACATTCACCAAAGTCAGGACTACAGATGAACGCTGTGAGTTTTCCTAAATCCTGTTTCTCTCAAGGTTAAGTTTCATTGCTTTGTATAGATCAGGAAGCTTCAGTAATTATTCCTTTACTCTCCTGCACACATAAATGCTATTCAGAATCCTGTTCCAGACCCCAGGTCAAAGTGGTAGTACCCTGACCTATTATGATCTAGAACCTTCTTCTCACTTTTCTCCCTGACCCTGGATGTCTGGCTCTGAGAGTTAGCCTCAGGGGGACTTGAAAATTTACAGCATATTTTAGAATTGACATTAGAAGCACTACTGGCTTCTCTCCAACAGGCCCTGGATGGTGGTGGGTAGCCTTCTTCCTCAGCCTTCTCTTTGGCTGGGCTTCCGACCCGACCGGAGGCTCTGCTCTGCTGGGGATGGTGAGAGCCTGGCAATGTGCAGTAGCTCAGACCGGCATGTTACCAGCTCTGTGGTTGTGGAGTCTATGGGGAAAACGTGAAGAGATATGTCTTTCTAAAATGCATTTGGCATCAGAGTTAGAGGAAGAAAAAAGGAAGGGACAAAGTAGGGACTGTACTTCCATCTCAAACTCTGCCAGCCAGAAAGGTGAGAGGAAATATCCCCTGGAGAGAGGATGCAGGGGAGAAAGCTTTGTGATGGCTTTCCCTAGAGAAGCCCACACCCACGTTCTTGAGTGTGTCTTTCTTTCCTTATGAACATCTTTCTTTCTTTTAATCCTAATTCTTAAAACCTATAATAAGATTGCTAGATAAGGTTCAATTCTGCCTCAACTGGCCCATTCTGAAAATCTTTTCTGATGTAATCAGATCCGGTTTTGAGTGGTCCCTGCATGATCAAGGAAGTCTTGCAGGAGGCAACTGGAGGCCAGCCCTTGCTGCACCACAGGTGACAATAAGATTTGCAGCATTTTACAAGTGTGTTGAGAGTGAGGTTTCCATTGACGAATTCACAGAAGGGTAAAGAAACCTTGAAGACATTTGTCTTTGAAAAAGAAGTAGGCTCCAGCTGGAAGTCCGAGCTTCCTTCATGCAACATCTAGTCACTGAAATCTGAGCTGTTGGGAAGGGACAGTCACACTGGATAAATGGTTGTCCTGGAGCACCATAAATGATGCCAAAGTCACAGCCAGCTTCAGCTGCAGACGGTAGTGGTGCCTGAGAGATGTCTCCAAGTCCATGTCGAGAATTCAAATCAGAGCAGGATTTGAGCCAATGGTTTACATTATTTGAGCACTCTTGTCACTTTGGAGTAATTTCACTGGATGGGGAGATAATTTCTTTTATGAGATGGGGTGTCATGTAGCCCAGGCTACATATCTGAGGATGAACTTGAACTCATGCTTCTTCTGCCTTCACCTCCTCAGTACTGGAACTGCAGGCATGCATTACCATGACCAACTCTTAGAGTGAGTCTTTCTTTTTTTTCTATTTTTTTTTTCAGTTTATATACTTTACATCCCAAGGGTGCCCCCTCCCTCCTCTCCTCCCAGTCTCCCCACTTCCATTTAAAATTTATTTCTGTATTATTTTTCTTCCAACTTTTGAACTTACTTTGTGTGAATACATATGCACATATATGTACATAAAATGGTAACTATATATTTTCAAGATTTCATTAATCCTTGCGGTAAACCTTATGACTTTTCCATTATCAGTTATATTGTTGCTAATAAGAAAGTATTTCAGCCGGTTGTAGTGGTGCTCGCCTGTAATCCCAGCACTCGGGGATGCACAGACAAGCAGATCTCTGTGAGTTCCAGGCCAGCCTGGTCTACAAAAGGAGTCAAGGACAGCCAAGGCTACACAGAAAAATCCTGTCTAAAAAAAAAAATCAAAAACCAAAACCAAACAAACAAAAAAGAGAGAGAGAGAGAAAAGAAAGAAAGGAAAAGGAGGTATTTCAATTCCTTGCAACTTCTCTGACAGACACTGTACATTTTTAAACAGGATGTTATGTGACCCTGCTAACTATACCTCAGACCTTATTAAACGGGAATGGGAAATGCTTGCATTTGCTAGGAGGAGACTGGTATGATAAACCAATAAAAATACCAAAAGATGCAATGCTTATGGAAGCTCAGTCTAGTTGTACTTTTTAACAGTGGGTCCCTTTCTTTGTGAGTTGGTGCTTTTACTTTGAACAGAGACCAACGTTAGCAAATAGACATCACGAGATGGAGAGGTCAGGAAGTCTGGACAGCGGCCTCCGGAGTGCTGGTCCTTACTACCATTTCTATTTCTGCTTCTTGACATTTGAACTATTTCTCCATTGAATGTTACAAGCTGGGTTCAGGTGGCTCTCTCCCAAATGATGGTTCAACTTAAGATTCCTTTGGACTGATGAGATATGACAGCAGGACATGCCCGGAAGATGTTCTTTGCATTTTGATCTTTATCCTGCCTGTTGAAATATGGGATGGTGGCCCCAGCCACAGCGCCAACAGCCAGCCACCCTGAGGGGAATCTGTGGCAGTCCGTAGTGTCTGCCATGCTGTAGGGCTGTTGGCAGGCTAGGTGTGTGGGATACACCTTCCTGCAGTGCATAGAACTTGGAGTTCGTCAGGATGTAGTCCTTTCCTAGCCAAGGGGCACCCATGATTAACTTTTCAGTCCTCAATAGAGATGTAGGTTATATTTTGAAAGTTTGTTTTTAAAATGTCCTGAAGGTAGTTGAAATCAAACAGATGGGCACACTGAATGCACTGCACAAAATTACCTTCATTCTATACAGTGCAGATGAACCTTGTATGAATTTTGTTATTAGACTCTCTTCATACATGTCACTATGAACACGCAAATATTCCTCAATTCAAAGCAATCTGAAATCCTAAAAACCTCTGGCTCTAAACATTTGTGATAATGGATATTCATCCTATCTTTATCATTCAATAAAATGTATCTGAATCCATAATTTTACCAAATTTTAAAACTGATTTGCAGTACTCTCTTGAGAGCAAGTATTCTCAGCACACTGGTGAGATTGGAAGAGCAGGCTCCCTTCCAAAACTCTAGCCCTACGCAGTACCCACTGTCCCCTAAAACAAGCTCCTTTTTTTTTTCTAGTCCAGGAAGTTACTGGGTGAGGAGTGAGGAAGGAAAGAGAAGCACACAGATAGAGCAGGACATATGTTCATGCACATTGTTCTCAGAGCTTTCCAAGTCTTTATTTAGGAGACTGTTTACACACAGCTGAGTGGTTGTTCCGTTGAATTACAAGCAATGGGAACAAGGAGAGTATTTTACAAATAGTAGTGTTTGACACGTTTGGGAAATAAAGCAGAATTGTTATAGGAGGTACAGGGGTAAGTTATGTAAGGCTAAGTAGAAGGCTCGTCTTCATGTCCAGGCTGCAGCCCACTGGTCACATGTATCCCAGGACAATTCTGAATGTGGCCCAACTTAAAAGATAATTTTCTTTGGTGATTCCATTGCACAATTCCTGAGTGTGAACTTCATTGGTGACAATGCTGTTACAATGTCAAAAGTCCAGACACTTCTGGGCCTAGCTAGTTTTTAATGTATAATAAGCAATCTCAGTGGCAGAGAGGTATTTGTTTCTTGATCAGGGGGTCTCATGTCAACATGGCTTGGTTGACTGGGCCACACTGACCTCTGGGCTTGGGTCTGGCTCAGGTGTGTGTCCTGTAAAGTCATCTGTGCTCAGGTTGAAGGGCAGGAGTACAATGGGTATGTTCTTTTCATGGTTGATAAAGGAAGAGGATGACTATGTAAGTCTATTTGAAGCCCTTACCTAGACCATAGCTGTGATCCATCGATCACATCCTGCTAACCAAACTAAGGCATGTGGTCAAGCCCTCAGGCAAGAGGCAGGAAAATACTCCCACCTACCACATAGCTAGGGTAGGGAGTGAGGAGCTGAGTAGTCATGATCGATTCTATTAGACTTGATGAGTTTGAACTACAGAGTGTTTGTTGACTGATGGCAAAGTGCTCCCTGCATTGACTAGTGTGTCATATAGCCCAGTCTGGCCTTGAACTCACTATGTGATGGAAGATGTCCTTGAACACCTGCTGCTTCTGTTCTACCTCCTGCATGTTTGGAGTGTTGCAGGTATGCATTGCCATACCTAGCTTGGTTGGTCTTTTCTCTTTCTACTCAGGCAGTACTCAGATTAAATTTTCCCTAGAAGTTCCACCCAATTAAATTTGTATAAATATGATAAATAAGATCTATTTTGTGAAAAAGTGTGTTTTTTTTTTTCAGAATTAAACTTATTTAAAAAAAGCTCATACTGAGTCTTTTATTTCTTTAAGGAGGCCAATGCATATGTGAAAAAGATTCCTTTCTTCTTTCTTCTTTAGCCTTCATGCTGCTGCAGATCATATTGCCCATGACTTTCTGTGTCTTGCTCCTCATCACTCTGTGCTACTGGAAAAGCCAGTGGTAAGTGGAGAGGAAGCCTTTATTCAAGAGTTAGAAACAAACCATATGACAGAAATGATATGGAATAATATGGGGAAAGAATGATGGAAAGGAAAAGATCAAAGAAAGGTAGGTAAGCAAATGTAATTTAGTTGACAATTTTATCTTCTGGGTCAGTAGACAGGAAAAAGAAGAACCATTTCCAAAGTTGCACCATAGCCATAGTATGCCTTATATAGAATGAGCTTTGGAATGCCTATCATAATACAGTAAGTACTATAGTTATGTTTATGTATACTATGGGGTAATCAAAGCAAGAAAGAGTTACATTTGCTTCATAGAGGATCCTTGAGAGCTCTTAACCATTACATGGAATTGTGCATTCAGTCTTATTTTTCACTTATTGTTATTTGTTCTTCTAGGGTGAAGGAGACGTGCTTTCCTGACATTCCAAATCCATACAAGAGCAGCATCCTGTCACTGATAAAATCCAAGGTAAATGTGAGGATGTTGTATGTGGAACATACCTGTGAAGGACTAATCCAGCTGGGCATGGCAGTACATGCCTGCAATCCCTACCTTTGAGACACAAAGGGTTAAGTGGCTCTCTGTTGAGTCTGAGCCCAGTCTGGTCTATATAGTTAGTTGTAATGCCTTCCAGGCTACATAGTGAGAGTCCCCTTCAAAAAAATCCAAAGTGTGTGTGTGTGTGTGTGTGTGTGTGTGTGTGTGTGTGTGTGTGTATGTGCATGCGAGCACGTGTATGTGATAGAGAGACAGACAGTCAGACAGACAGACTGACCAGACAGAAAAGGACTAATCTTGGTTTGAGGCTATATTAATCAAGCTTTCTTATACCTCTTCAGGAAAAGATAAATTAAAAGCACAAACATAGCCATGAGACAAGCAATTGGCTGGACGAAGGTACAGCTCAGTGGCAGAATGCTTCCCTAGCATGAGTGAGGCCCTGGTTTTGATACAAGCCTTAGCCAAACAGATGTGATTGCATGTTATTCATTGCGGGCTACCAGAAAATTCAGTGGTGCAATGGGAAGGCTTTATCCCACTGGGAGTCAGAAACAAGCTATCTGGCTTTTGTCACAACCTTCAAGTTCACACATGGCCAGGAAGGAATGGGAAGATCTCATTTATGTTCCATATGTTTGATTCCTTTGCAGAAGAGCCCTCACTTAATAATGAGTGTCAAAGACTGTATTCCAGACATCCTTGAAGTTATAAACAAGGCAGAAGGAAGCAAGACTCAGTGTGTAGACTCTGGGAAACTACACACAGAGGATGCACCCACTAAGTCTCTCTCCATGCCTCCAGAAAAGGATTCCTCTGGCCCTGTGCCCTGCGTCTTTTTTGAGAATTTTACTTATGATCAGACAGCTTTTGATTCTGTTTCCCGTGGCCTCATCCCAGAACCCCTAAAAGACATACCACATCAACTTGGACTGTTGGCCACACCTGACAAGTTACTAAATGTATTAGAGAAAGACTACATGAAGTCTCTGGTTGAAAGCCCAACTGAAGAAACCAGCTTGATTTATGTGTCCCAGCTGGCTTCGCCCATATGCGGAGACAAGGACAGGCTTGCCACAAATCCATCATTGCCAGTGCACTGTTCACAGTATAAAAGGCAAATGGCAGTTCCAGGGAGCCTCATACCACCTTCCCTGAAGGAGAATAACAGCCTGACCTCAACGATCCTTTTAGGCCAAGATGAACAGTAAACACCAACTAGCATCAACTTAGTTCATCCACCACAGGCCCTTTTGGGGATGTAGCTGGTACCATGCCAACAGTACATGCCCAGGCCCTTTATTCCAGGAGCACTCATTATCTGCAGCACTGATTTACAAACAATCACCACAGACTGACAGACTAAAGACCAGAACCAAACAATTTGGCATTTGCCCCGAAATAGCAGGATCGTGGATGGAGCATGCTGACCTTGTTATTATTTGTTCCAGATTCACCCTTATCATAGTAACCCTGACCTTGACAAAGGGTATGCATCAGCCATTTCACAGACCCTACCTACTGTGGTCCTAGGATTTTGGTTTGCAGTGAGAAAACATCTTCATGTAAATTTAACCTCATGCTTTTTATTAAGATATTAAGAGTAAAGCAATTGGATCAGATTTTTGATTAGTGCCACAAGAGATTTGTCACTTTTATTGTGTAGATTTATCACATTTAGTGGAGGGGGTTACAAACTAGATTTTGGCCTTACCTTGAAATGAGAATTTGTAGTCACTGATAAAGTAAAAATAACGGTCTTGGTGTCTACACTGAACCTAACAGTTTAAGATGTCCAAATGGAAAAGAAGAATCTTCATAGGTCTCTTGCTGTCTAGCTTGCTGCAGTAAAAACGAGATTGCCAAGAGCTCCAGACTTGGAGTCTACAAGACTTCAATCTTCTTCCTTAGTTTTTGAATAGCTCAGAATTTAAAAGGGGGGGGGCATTTCATTCAGTGATTTCTTTCACATATAATGCCCCCCCCAAAGGCTGTATCTAAATGACCTAGTTCCACATACTTATCTTTGAACTCTTGTAAGGTTCAAGGGAATTCTATCTCATTTACATTCCTGTCATGCCAAAATCCTAAAGCCTATTGGTTATAATATAGCTTTAACTTTAAAATGTTCCAGGAGTGAGAAGTTAGTTTTGTGTTGGCCCCAAAGCACGTCTTTTAACAAAATACACTTGGTCCTATCTATGGGTTTCACATTAAGATTCAACCAATTTCAGAAAGAAGATATGCAGAAAATAATGTCTGTACCAAACCCATAGAGTTTTCCTGTTATTCCTTATAGAGTATTAATAATTTCCATAGCACTTAAATGCATCAAGTATTAGGGCACAGCATGCAAAAATAACCACTGCATACAACACTTTCAGATAAGGCCTGAACTCCCAGAGATCTATAGCTCCTGTCATCAGTTCCTGGAAGGCGCCATGGAAGAACAAGTATATTCAACAGACAAACATGTACAGGTGTTCAGTACATTAGTTTCTTCCTCTAATGCTTGTCACATTGCAAAATAATGGGAAGAGGTGTGTCTTTTGTCTTGTTTGCTTTAAGTGTGATGGGAGCTATGACTGTGCACTCATATGGCTGTTTCCAACACTGTAGCGATATCCATAGGGCATGTGGCCTCAGATTGTAGAAACAGCAATCATGAGTGTTCCAGTTCAAGCTGTCCAATCTTTTCTTTACATCTAAGCAAGCCTTTGCTAGAAACTATGGCTATGACCTAACCTAGGACTAGACAGTATCTTAAATAGTCAAGTTGGGAGAAGTGGCTGGTCAGTATTGCCAATAGCCAGTTTAAGTTTTTCTGTCAATGTATTTCTCACTGGAAACTTGCACCCAGTTAGTGACATTCATTAGTAAATACTGTTTCATTTCAATTTTGTTTAAAAAATAATCCACAAAACATTATTTTTTGCTGTTTCAATAAAGTTCAAATTAAAACATTTCATGATCACATTGTTTTAATTCCCTTAACAGAATGAAAACTTCTCAGTTATTGAATTTTACAAAAATGTAAAGTGACCTTTTCAACCTAAAAAGGGTCTTTTCAGCACTGTGGAATCCCATATTTCAGCAGTTCCTAGATGTTCAAATACATACCACACTCTAAGGGTTCTTCCTTCCTTCTCACAGTGCCCTTCCTAACAGGAACCTCCAACAGGAACAGAATTCAAACTAGACTCTGAGAAGCCAGGTGATAATCTGCTGAGTCTGGCTTATTTCCTGTAACATAATAGCCCCCAGTTCCATCCATTTTCCTGCAAATGTCTTTAGAGTTGAATAAATTGCAACGTGAACATGTCACATTTTCTTTATCCATCTGTTGATGGCTCTTTAGGCCAGTCCCATAGCTTAGCTATTGCAAACAGAGCAGCTATGAACATGGATATGCAAGTATCTCTGTGCTGTGCTGATTTAAGAGTCACAGGACAGGTCTATTTTCAGTTTCAGGAACCACCACACTGACAGCCACAGTGCCTATAGAGTGCAAAAGGCTCCTCTTTCCCCACACCCCCACCAACATGCTTTTTTTTTTTTAATATTTTTATATTAATTTATTTACTTTGTGTCTCAGCTGTAGCCCCCTCTCTCATTCCCTCCCAATCCCATCCTCCCTCCCTCATTTCCTCCTTGCCCCTCTCTAAGTCCACTTATAGGGGAGGTCCTCCTCCCCTTCCATCTGACCCTGGCTTATCAGGTCTCACCAGGACTGGCTGCAATGTCCTCCTCTGTGGCCTAGTGAGGCTGCTCCTCCTCCAGGGAGCTGGGGAGGTCAAGGAGGTAGCCATAGAGTTCATGTCAGACAGTCCCTGTTCCCCTTACAAGGGTACCCACTTGGATACTGAGCTGCCATAGGCTACATCCAAGCAGGGGTTCTAGGTTATAACTATGCATGGTCCCTAATCAGTCTCAGACAAGCCCCTGTGCCCAGATATATTTGGTCCTTGTGGAGCTCCTATTCTCTCCAGGTCTTACTAACTCTCTCTTCTTTCATATGATTCCCTGCACTCTGCCCGAAGTTTGGTTATGAGTCTCAGCATCTGCTTTGATATACTGCTATGTAGTCTTTCAGAGGCCCTCTATGGTAGGCTCCTATCCTGCTTCTCATTTTCTCCTACTTCCAATGTCCACTCTATTTGTCTTTCTAAGTAAGGATTTATCTTACCCTGGGTCCTCCTTCTTGTTTAGCTTCTTTAGGTGTACAGAGTTCAGTATGTTTATGCTGTTTTATCTTATAGGTCTATTATCCACTTAAAAGTGAGTATATACCATGTGTGTCTTTCTGCTTCTGGGATACTTCACTCAGGATGATCATTTGCCTGCAAATTTCGTGAATTCCTTGTTTTTAATTGCTGAGTATTCCATTGTATAAATGTACCACAATTTCTGTATTCATTCTCTGCTTGAGGGACATCTGGGTTGTTTCCAGATTCTGGCTATTATGAATAAAGCTGCTACAAACATGGATTCATCTAGCTTGAGCTGGGATTCAAAGCTTTTAATTTGCCTTGCACTGGCGGGTAAGGTGGTTGCACACTTTTTCAGGATTTTTTTTCCTCCTTTAAAAGTGTCTACTCAGCCCCTTTATTGACTAGATGATTTAATTTCTTTAAGTTTCTTATAGCTATCCCTAAAGACTCCACAAAAAAATAGATCCAATAAACACATTCAACAAGTTGCAGTATACAAAACATCTAAAAATCCAGCAGCCTTTCTATATTCCAATAATGAAGTTGTAGAAAGATCAGAAAAAATTCATTCATAACTAGCTTTTAAAAATTCTTAAAATAGATCCAACCAGAGAAGTCAAAGATCTTAACTTTTAAACAAAGTGTAGTGAAATGTCTTTAGTTCATTCTCAGTTGAAACAAACTCAGAAGAGGGAGGGCACATTATCTTGGTAAGGTGACAACAGACACATGAGAGTACATGATGTTTGGCTGGAACTTGTCCTGTGAGAAGGGCGTGGCTTTTGCCAGCTGGAAAAAAAACAGCCTTGAGAAAACTCAGATAAATAGAGGCCCAAGGACAGGGAGGAGCTTTTGCATTGCTGCTCTTTGTAAGGTGCACATCACTTTGCTGGTCTTTGTTTTTCTGCACTTCACTTGGAGAGAAATGCTCTGGCTCTAGAGCAGAGAACTTTTGACAATCCGATTGCATCTTGTGACTCCCGCTGACTGAGATTTGGTGGAGTCTTGCTGTTTCTGCTGAAACCATGCTGCTGTTTGGTGTTGAATTTTGGACTGGACTGCTGATAATCATCTGGACAACAAAGAGTGAACTTGCCCTAAGGAACTTTATCTTAAAAAAGTCCACAACTAGCCATGTCTATACTCGATTGCACACCTGATATGTAGAGGCTAGAAGAGGGAACTAGCATTACAGATGGTTATGAACCACCATGTGGGTGCTGGGAATTGAACCCACATCCTCTGAAAGAAGAACCAGTGCTCTTTGAATATGGTTAAAGCCTTAAAAATAAAGAGTATCATTTTACTAATCAACTATGATAATATTAGGCACGTTTTTCATTTGGGTGCTAACTAGACTAGTGGTAACATATAAGGTGAGAACAATTACACGAACACACAGGTGTACACAGTCCAAATACTTTCAACAACTTTGTGTAAGGTGGGCCAAGAGACTTTAGCAACACTCTTTAAGAGACCTTGGCTTTCACACTCAAGTTCTCAGTTGGCTCTTTGCCTGTGGTGTGGCAGAATCTGCTAGGCCAGTGTGCCGACTACTGAGCATCATACCACTGCCTTACTACTCAGAGAGATGTTCTAGCTAATGACATTGCTAGTTCCAAATTCTTCACAATAATGATTGGAGCTTTATAGAGTTAAGTATGTTACATTAAGTTCTGAAGAACGCCAGAGAAGTACAATTATTTTAAAGTTGGGAGAAGCCCCTTTTCATGATACAAGTCGTCCATCACCATGTGTAGGATAAAAAAGCCATTTACTGGAAACATACCTGTCAACATCAGTATCATGCGATTCAAGTCAAGGTGAAGTAACACACATTAAGTTCTCAAATCAGGCCAACATCACAAGTTTAAGAATTTTAAGTACATTTTATTAACAATGAATCCCTTTGATAAGATTATGCTTCAGGAGGCTTTAATGCCCTTAACATAAACTGTACACATTATACAAAAACAATACAACCACAACAACAACAACAAAAATCAAGGTGAGCAAAACCATTTGGGGACAAATCTTATTTAAATTATACACAACTCAATGAAATATTCTTAAGGAAAATATATAAATACTTTTTCTTTCTATGTTACAGTTATACAATATAAATCAGATTTCAATGTCTGTTCAGTGACCTACAAACACCAGAACCTCCAAAAAATGTAGCAGCGTATTACTAAATAAAAAAGATCATGTGGCAGAGATCATTAAGTCTGAGATTCTCTTTAAGATCCCTTACCACTTTTCAAAGCTAATTTAATTTACATCATTTGTTTCACAATGCATCTTTAGGGTTTCTGACAGGCCAGTAATGGAACATTTTTCAACAATCATACATCAAAAATTTTCACCACTCCCGCTCTGCCCCAAGACTTTGCATTTTGTGCTGGATCAACCTAGTTAAGTGGGAAAATTGTAAGGTATGTTTCCTTTTTTGGCATAAATTAACTTTTCATACTAAGTATCTTATAGAGTCAAAATGTGCAATTCATGCATCTGTGGCAGAGTTATCCACCTAACTATAAAAATACTCCAAAGGGGAGAAATCCCACACTCTGAGAGTCATACAAATGTATAGAAGTAACCCCCCTGGGGACCTGGAATTAAAAGAAAAGGGCTCCTGGGAAGACATGCGCAGACTTGTGTGTCCTTCATGAGCACTGCCCTCAAGGTCACTGGTAGGCCTGGAAGTGAGACTCAGTGCAGTGCCGCTCTCCAAGTTAAGATGGGAACAACAGGCTTAGTTAGTAAGGAGAAAATGGGACCTTTCCCAACACACACTTGGGAAAATCTGCAATGTTCATTGCAAGCAGCTCTTCTTAGAAGTCTCTCAAATGATTTTCTTTCATGGATTGTGAGTGAGTTTGAGACAAAGTGGAAGTAAAAGTGGGAGAGGAAAAAAAACATCCTTCCAAAATTACATTTTCAAAGTGGTCACAAGTTCTTCTCACACAGAATTAGCACCTTACTCTCATCACACAAGAATAACTGCAATTGTAATTTGAATGACAGACAATTTTGTTTCTTATTGCTTAATGATCTGTGCTTTGATATGGGGGATAAAAAGGCATCCTCTGAAAGGAATGAAATAAAAATGTATATAGATAGCACTAGACAGATCTAAATAAACACTGATATCCCATTTTGAACACGTGGCCATGGTGACATGGAATTTGGCCTTAACCATTGCAAGCTCTGGATGCGAGTGGAACACTACTGAGGACATAGGCCCCAGTGACTTGGATAAATCACCACAGCAACAATGCACGCACTTCCTAACAGCCTTGTGGTATCACTGTCTTAGGATGTCTCTACCCTTACTCTTTATTAGAAACACTTAAGTCAGGAGAAATACATTCCTCCTCCAATATACCCTAAACACAAACAGAAAATAAAAGTATGAGAAATTTTAGAGCCTATTTTCTTATAAATACTAAATTTCTCATTTTCTTATTTGTCAGTATTTACTTAGTATGTGAAGCTGAAATCCGTTCTTGAAAAAAAAAACCCTCAATTAAAAATGATAATTTACAATTAGAAATTCACAGTTTACAACCAGCTTAACTGTTCAAACTCCTCCAAATTATTAAATAATTAACAATAGTACAAATTTATATGCCTAAGGTTAATTCTAAACTCTTGAAAAACTACAGTATTGATATTATTTTGGTAATATGTATTATTTATAGACAATTTTCTCAATGATTTCTATTACCATTGACATCATTCATAACCTT